AATGTAGAATGAGTGTGAGGGGGATTAATCACCACGACCTTAACAATATATTGTGTCCCCCTTTCTTGAGTAACTCATCATACATCTCCCATCCCACTCCGAGAACAAATGTTCTTCAGCCGAGGAGTAAACATCTACAAGACCAACTGTGGAATACACCATTCCACAGTTGAGGTTTGGCCCTCTGTTCCCTTCACAGTCGAGAAGTTTGTCTCCGTCCTTATACCTGAGATCGAGGCTGGAGGGGGTCTGTCTCCATTTTCTCCACCTGTGTAACATGGTCTCTCCTTAGACCTGATACCTGTATTGTCCCGAATCTATAATAGAGGATATACAGGGTGGTCCGAACTGTATTCCGGAAACTTCGGCAGCATATTCTGCAGATAAAAATAAGTAAAAAAGTTCTTATAAACGTATGTCCAAAAATGCTTAGTTTCGGAGATACAGGGTGTAGAAGTTTCATTTTTATTTAGATTTTTTCCAAATAACTTCTGAAGTAACGTCAATATATGGATGAAAATTGGTGTCTGGAAGTTTCTTGACATGAAAAATTTGATTTTGATGTCAATATGACTCCCACTAGTAGAGGGCGCCATCTACATATTTTTTAACTGGTTTGAAGAGTAATAACTTTTCGTCCGTCCCTGTATAAAACTACTGAGTAAAAAAATATATATTTACGACGTTTCCTGCGTGAAAAAGGTCTCTTGGTAAAAATCGCTATGAGTCATGGTTTTCGAGATATTTGGAATCGAAATTATCAATACCTGTCATCATTGACATAAATTAAATATGTTGACTAAATAGTTAGTAGACTGAAATCATAAATCTGAAATGTTTTTGTATTAAAAGTTTAACAGAAACTGTTTTATCGTAATTTTTATTAATTAAATTAATTATGATTAATTTTAAAAAATAAAAATTTCCCAAATTTATTATTTCAGTGAAATAACTATCTACTCTACGTGTTAATTTTTCGTCAATAATGACATGTATTGACTATTTCCATTCTAAATATCTTGAGAAAAAAGTCACAGAGATGTATATTTTTTCGCTCGGTAGTTTTATACAGGTACGGACAAAAAGTTATTACGCTTCAAAACAGTTAAAACACATGTAGGTGCCGCCCTCTACTAGTAGGAGTCATATTGACATCAAAATCAAATTTCTCATGTCAAAAAACTCCCAGACACCAATTTTCATCCAAATATTGATGTTACTTCAGAAATTATTTAGAAAAAATCGAAATAAAAATAAAACTTCTACACCCTATATCTCTGAAACTAAGCATTTTAGGACATACATTTATACGAACTTTTTTACTTATTTTTATCTGCAGAATACGCTTCCGAAGTTTCCGGAATACAGTTCCGGACCACCCTGTATATGATATGTCTTTCTCTATTGCCTCATTACATTTGAGGTCTGTTCCTATTATGGGGACTTAACCATGGCCGTCGATGACTCGCCAACTGGATGTCCTTACCCCAGGTCCATACAATGGAGTTCTGACAAAGCTGGTGATACGTCCCTGTTTGCCGGAGCAGAGTTGAGAGATTTTTTCTTTATTCAAAAAATTGCACTGTTAATGCTCTCAGTGTTGTGATGGGTTTCCTCCAGCTTCGCCACAAGTTGGTCCACTTCTACAAAGCGCCGCATGTAGAAGTAAGGTAAACGAGAATACTAACGGGTGTCCCCTGGTTGTCGAAGATTAAGACCAGTAAAGACTAGTCTTCTATCTAGCCACGCATCGTGAGATTGTCTCCTTCTGATCCTGGCGGTTAAGACAAGAGCCCCTCACAGACAGTAGAGGGTGCCTTGTATGACGGACAGGGTAGCCCCATCGGGCATCGTTATACGTCTATGTGCAATTACCTGACCACGACACAAGACGGCTCTTTAAACTCAGCCAAAGTGCCAGAGAGGATTCGCCCTTAAATTACCTATATCCGTTGGGTTTACTCACCGTCCATCACTGAGTCGGAAGTACTTGTTGTGTCATAATACACATACAGTTCATACTAAATAAACTTTAGTCACGTTAATTATAAATATACAGGGTTGTTCACCACATACGACACCGAGTATTGTAGCTAAACGATGAGATTTTTACAAATTGTAAGTTTTGGGTTCGATGAAGGACTATTAGAGGTACAATATAAAAATAATTTTACAAGATACAGAGTGTCCCAAATAAGTAAAAAATATCAAAGTTGTATTTTTTTAAATGGAACACCCTGTATATTATTACATTTTTAGTTTCTACGATTAAAATAAAGGTAAATTTGATTAAGATTTATTATACTTAAACCTTACCGTTTTGAAATATTTTCAATTTTGTGAAATTGCAGAAAAAAATTTTAAGGCTTCATTCCTCCAAAGGGTATCAAAGTTTTAATACTAAATATTTACTGAAGTTTATCTACTGATCAGTTATTGTGTTGCAATAATAAAAATAATACTACCTTATACAGAGTGTCTAAAAATTTATTTTAAATAATTATTAGCTTCAAACGGCAATAACTTGTTTAATTTAAATGGAACATCCTGTATATTTTACGAGAATCAGATGCACAATTTAATTGTCTATCAAATTATATTATACCATTTTTACCTATCTCTTTAAGTTTCCGTAGAAAATGCATTTTCTTGTAATTTAGAACTTATTTATCAATATACCCATGGACTATTGACATTTTAGATTATTTTTAAAGATGTACAAATTTTTAAAGAGTACAAATATTAATATTGTCGATATAATTCGTTTATTTCATTAAAAAATAAAAAAAAACTGTTTAAATATTTGTTAAAGAGGATCAGTTAATATGATTCCAGTATTCAAACAACATTAACTGACTGTTTGCTTTGATTAATAATAATTGCTCCAAATACTAAAAAACTGAATTTTGTATGGGCATTAGACAGTGTGATAAAAAGTAACACCTTAAAAATGATATTTCATTTTTTAATAAATGCTTATTTATAACTACAGAGACTTTAATTTGATAACTTATTATTATATTGATTTCTGACTCAAATCCACATTTATTTATAATAATTTAATAACGAACACAATTAAGTATGTAATTAATTAGTATATGGGCGCAAATAATGGTGTTATATTTAATTAATGGTATACTCTTTTATAAAGATTTAAATAGTTTTCTTTTTGCATACAAATGGGCTAGTAATATTATCGTTTTGCTAAAAACGATAATATTACTAGTCTGTACATTTTGTACATTTGTTGCTTTAAAAACAATCTAAAATGTCAATATTCCATTGATATATTGATAAATGAGGTCTAAATTATAAGAAAATGCATTTTATACGAAAACTTGAAGGGATAGGTAAAAAATGGTATAATACAATTTGATAGACAATTTAATTGTGCATCTGATTCTCCTAAAATATACAGGGCATTCTATTTAAATTAAAGAAGTTATTGCCGTTTGAAGCTAATAATTATTTAAAATAAATTTTAGACACTCTGTATAAAGTAGTATTATTTTTATTATTGCAACACAATAACTGATCAATAAATAAACTTCATTAAATATTTAGTATTAAAAACATTGATACCATTGGAGAAATGAAGCTTTAAAATTTTTACTGCAATTTCACAAAATTGAAAATATTTCAAAAACGGTAAGGTTTAAGTATAATAAACCTTAATCAAATTTACCTTTATTTTAATCGTAGAAACTAAAAATGTAATAATATACAGGGTGTTCCATTTAAAAAAATACAACTTTGATATTTTTTATTTATTTGGGACACTCTGTATCTAGTAAAAATATTTTTAAATTGTAGCTCTAATAGTCCTTCAACGAACCCCAAACTTACAATTTGTAAAAATCTCATCGTTTAGCTACAATACTCCGTGTCGTATGTGGTGAACAACCCTGTATAAACAGTTATTATTTACATCAACAAAAGTCAGCTTCTTAACGGCATTTAAGGCTTTCCCGTTAAAAATGTTCTAATAAGCTTGAGAGGAGTTTTTATGGCTATTAAGCTATCTTGTACACTGCGCACTAAAAGAGGTTCTAAAAAGAAATGTTCGACTGCAAGTTCTGCTAATAAACATTTTTTCAGCTTAAAGTATCAAAACACTATTTATTTCAAAACCAAAAACCCGTAATAATAAACTAAAGTGTCAAAAGGAACATTGTCAAGAAATAAATAAGTAAATGCGGCAACTTGACATTTTTTACAGCAGGGCTACCATCTGAATGCTCAGCGCAAAATTTAAATTCCTGTTAGTCAGTGTGACGCCGAATAATGTCCATGGTTAGCAACAATGAACCACGAATAATGACGTGACAACCAGTTAATTTGGTATGAACTGTACTAGGTATGCTGTCTTGTGCGTATTTAGGAGCTTTCATTTTTTTTCAGTTTTTGTTCACGCCCAATTTTTCTTCATTGAAAAAATTTCTAGATTTATTTCTGGAAGACCAATTTGCCATTGGAATTTTACTAATAAATCAAATTTGCCTAACCAACACGTTTGAGAAGGTATTTGTCTTTCCATCATCATCAGAACATAAAAAACAATGAAAAAGAAGAAAAAATCTTTTTAAAATGTCTAAATACAACTATTGAAGAACACTAGTTTTTTAACAGATGCGTCTATTATAAGCCGTTGACGTTATATTAAAATTACTTTATAAGGAGGAAATATACCTCCTGAAATGCTAAGAATTTTTGTCGGTGTTGCAAATTTGTTTTATTTATAAAATACCACTGACAAATTAGTCTCCGTTGTAATGGACAACAACACCACTGCATTTACAAAAAAAAATTCTTTTCAAGAAATGAATCCACGGTTGGGTGTCACCTCCAAGCTGGTGGACGGCCCCCTCTAGCTGACCAAGGCAAGGGCGGGTTTCTGGAATTGAAATATACTACCAGTTAAAATAATTGGACTTATTTAAGAGACACCTACTATAAAATTTGTAATTATATATATTTTTATTTTTTTCTTCTATTTTCAGAAATTAGTGCCCTGCGTGATTCGTCCTGTCCAAGAATATGTCAACCAAACGCTTATGGAGATCCTGTATGTGGATCTGATGGCATCATATACTCAAATATATGTGAAATGAAGAAAAAGACTTGCGGAAAAGGTAAATTTTATAAAAACATATTTCCTTGTTGTAGGTAGGATATAAATTAGATTTTTGCTCTTTTCGAAAAAATCGAACACTTTTAAATTTTCAAAATTTTAAAGTTAAATATACAGGGTGACCCAGGTTTTCGAAAAAGCTCTATATTAGGTTTTAGTCTGTGATTTTTATTTCAATTTATTTAGTTCAATATGGGGCCAATGGTATCGCACATTTTGATTTTTTTTAACATACAGTAATTCAAGCATATTTTCAAACTAAAGTAGTGTATTTTTAAATGGAACACTATATATTTATTTTTTTTAATTAAGTAGATTTGCCATTAAAGTGATTTTTTCAAATATAACCGTTTTTAAATTAAATTTTCTGCCTATTTAAAGCCCTCCCAAAATTCTAAATTCAAAGAATTTTAAAGAATGTTTAACAAGAATTACTGTAAAATAGTGTCTTCTCCAAAATTCTACTACTAAAAGTCTACTAAAAATTGCAATCTTGTTTGATATAATATACAGAGTGAGTCAAAACTCAATGTTATTTTGTTTGTATTTTTCTCCGCTATCTTAAATGGAACAGTCTGTATTTTGTATCATAATCGAACAGATTTTTGTTTAATCTTCTTTTATTAAACGCCTCCTATACCAAAAATAGATATTTGATGAGAAAATTGTGTTTTTGAAGATTTTTGAGTCCCTTTCAATGGTACGCGTTTATAATTAGTGTGAGCTTTCTGTCACAAAATAATAAATATTACATTTATATACTAATTCATTACATTTAAAGGTATACTCAGCGGAATATTACATTTTAGTTAGGTGTTCCTATCTCCTGAACTGTATTAAGCATATTATGTATGGCAAAATTCATTCTGTTGATAAAGTTATTTAAATCTTGATGTAGTTCCAATTGATAAGAATGAAATTTATGTGTTTTTATAGTTTTATTAACACTACTTTGAGAAACGTCAAATGATATTTCTGGAATAGGAAGCATTAGTATTTTCTTCTTCTAATAATGGTAATACATTCAGCTTACTCTCTACTTTTATACAATATCTAGCATTTATTTTTTTGTATAAACCAGATTGCCCATGCTATCAAATATTCACTAGTAATACCACTAGAGGTCAAATTATTTCCGAAAATTTTTTCAAGCTCATGAATATTTTGAAAATTATCCCGAGTCTTCGACTCGGGATAATTTTCTAAAAATATTCATGGAGCGAGAAAAAATGTCCGGATTTAATTTGACCTCGTGTGGTATTCGGTAAGAAAATTCCACACCAAATTGTGTTTGTAAATCAAATAATTAAAATGTATTTTTCGATTTTTGGTGGAATTGATTATTTAGTTACTATGATAACTAAATGACACCCAAAACTAACCTAAGAACTATTTCAGTTTTTAAGCTGTCAAGCGGCACGGCTTTAAAAAAATGTTTCGCTTCGGTCATGAAAGCAAAGAAAATATTCGCCAGGAGATTAAGCAGTTGACATCCGCGAATACTAGGAAAGCGAAGTTAAGCGTATGGAAGCAGTTTACAAACTTTCATCTCAGCTTTATTGTAATTGAAATGTATCAAAATTATCATGTAAACAAATAAAAACCAGACTCTCAAAAAGATATATTTTTCCTAAAATATTCGTGCCCGAAAGAAAATTTCCAGGAATAATTTAAGCTTGCGTGGTATTCGGTAAGAAAATTTCACACCTAAATTTGAAAAAAAAAATATTAATCCAACATGACATTTTAAAATAATTTCAATTTGTTAAGTTGGCCAAGGTATTGATGCTTTTGACATATTATGTGTTTTGTCATTTTTGTTTGCGATTCTGTCATTAAGCTATTACTAGTTTTAAAACGTCTGTACGTAGAGTAAGAAGTGTATAGCGAAATGTCGCGATTTGGAAAAGTAAACCAACAAGGCATTAAAGAAGAAATTGAAAATATAAAACCAGATAACACCCGAAAATCAAAATCAAGTGTATATCCATCATATTTCGTTAAATAGAAAAATACCAGCTTTAGTTAAATAAAGGCGGCAGAACTATATTTTTTAGAACATGGCAATTTCGAAGAAATTCATATGTAGGTATATCTAACATATTTCCTTAAATAAAAAATATTACCAACCTTAGTTACATCAAATGCTAAAACTCAAATGGGTAATATTTCAATATATAGAGATTGTAGTTCATTCACATTATGATTGTAGATCTTATGTTTACCTTTTCAACTGTCAAAAAATTTCCACTAAAGTTTCATGGCGCCTCGAAAAAATTTCCGGAAATTTTTTCAGTTGCCATGGTAACTAGTCAACATTAAAGCATGTTATTGGTTGAAAAGTAGAGGTGTGAAATTTTCACTAAAATTTATCCGTTGCCATTGATTGGTTAAAAATTACAGGTGTGGAATTTTCGTAGTAATTTCTTGAATACGGATATTTGAGGTGTCTTCAAATCTGGTTGATAACAAATTCTCTCTTCCAAATGGGAAATTGCTGTAAATCGTTACTGTCTTCTTCAATAAAAATAAAGCTATTAAGATGACGCAAAAACCAAGAAAGAAACTATCGAGAAGAAGTGCATCTTGATAAAATTCTTTTTTAAGTTCTAATTTTGTTAAACGACTCCTCAGAACTCAGAATGTTTCAAACATCTAAAATATCAACATTTTTTCCTCGTATAGTAAGCAAATTGTTGTAAAATGTTACTTTCTTTTTCACAGAGAGTATCTCCAATAAAGATAAAGCTATTGAGATGACGCAAAAAATCAAAATATCAACATTTTGTTTTTCCTCGTATAAAACTAATCGGAACTTTCATTTTAAACTTTGAAAGAAATAATCTAAAAAGTCAAATAATTTAGCTAAATATTGTTTAAAAAATTATCAAAATCGATTCACTTGAACAACACACACTGAACTTAAAAAAACATGAAAATTTGAAGGTGTTCATTTTTCGTGCCGTTTTTAATTTTCTAATTACTTGTAAAAATAGACAGAGAATATAATAAAACCAAATATTGTAATATACAGCAATTACTTAACATCCTGTATACATATAAAATAAGTTGAAATAATTGTCCTAACCGGCTGTTACTCCCATTTCCTCAGGTGTGAGCCTATCTTCGGATCCCGGCCTGTGCCAAAGGTCCTCCGGCTCAAGATGCGATCACAAGTGCGGCTCAGAAAAAGACCCTGTATGCGGTACGGACGGCCGTACTTACTTGAACAGGTGCATGCTGCAAGTGGAGATATGCAGGTAAGATAAAAACCCCTCGCCAAGCACATACAAGGCGTCCCAAAGTGTAGTAGACTAATTATGCCACTGACTATAGAGGGTGAGTTATAAGTGCACATATTTTTAGGGGTTGTATATTTTGACCCCAGGAACACCTATTAGGTTTTTTTCCCAAAAAAAAGATATTGGAAACTGGGCATTTTCTTTTATAATTTCTTATACCGTGTGCGTATCAAAAGTGGGTCAGCCCTATAACTTTTTTATTTTTATAGTTAAACGAAATTTAGTGTGTTAGTATATGACATAAATTAGGATTCTTGGAAGTCAGCTTTGGAAAAATATTTTTTTCTTCAAAAAATATGCACGGTGGCATTTTTTTAGAAGAGACAAAAAATGTAGTAAATACTAGAGGGGCCATTTTACGAAAAGAAAATCGGCCGTCGGTAAAGTTGGAATATTTATACTAAAACTAGCGTGTACCAGCGACTTCGTTCGCGTCGAATTAATCATTTGTAATGGTAATAAAGCAAAGTAAGAATTTCCATTAACATACAAACTGGCTAAAATTTTCTTACATTTTTGTCAGCATGAGAAAAAACAATATGGCGATATTATTATATAACTTGGTAATATTTGAGAGATAATAATATTTTCATCTCGTTGGAATTTGACTTTCGAAAAATCCGTTTGCCAAAAATAAGTTTTTTATGTCAAGCAGTTTAAGCAGAATCGTGGTTAAGAAATTACCCAACTTTTGGGAACACCCTGTATAATATTTTAAAGAATTTCAAAATATGTAAAAAACTAAATAAATTATGCTTGTCCAAGCGCTTTCCAGAAAGACTAACCGTTTTTTAAATAACAAATATTGTAATATTTGAGGGGCGTTTTCACCCTCTTGGAATTTGAGATTCGAGAAACCCCTCCTTATCGAACCGCTACACCCCAGAGCCAATCCGTTTGCCAAAAATCAGCTTTAAACGTCAAGCAGTTTAAGCAGAATCGTGATTACTCAATGATCATATTTTATGAAACACCCTGTATAAATTTATAAAAAATCTTAAAATATTTAAAACAACAAAATAAAATATACGTGTTTAAGAGTTTTTCCGAAAAACTCACCGGTTTTTAAATAAAAATATTTTAATATTTGAGGGATAGTTTCACCCCCTTAGAGTTCGAGTTTCGAAAAATCCCTTCTTATCGAACCTCTACACCCTAAAGTCAATCTGTTTTCCAAATATCAGCTTTTTACGTCAAGCGCTTTAAGCAGGATCGTGATTAATCAATGACCAGATTTTTCGAAACACCCTGTATACATTTTTAAAAAATCTTAAAATATGTAAAAAAACAAAATAAAATATACGTGTTTAAGCGTTTTTTCGGAAACTTGACCGTTTTCTAAATAAAAAATATTGTAATATTTGAGGGGTGGTTTCACCCTCTTGGAACTGGAATTCCCCCTTGGAAAAAATCCCTTCTTATCGACCCTCAACACCCTAGAATCAACCTGTATGACAAAATTGAGCTTCTTACGTTGAGTGGTTTGAGCAGGATCGTGATTAATCAGTATGTCAGTTACTTAAGGATTTTATATATTAGTATAGATTTATGTAGGAGTGGGAGATTTCACCCTTCCCGTATTTTTTCTTGATTTTTGTGTAAGCCAAATGTTAGAGCACTTAGCAAAACATAGACACCTAAAATCTCATTCAAATCGGAATAACGGGTTTTAAAATAATCTGAAAAATTTTTTTTTTTTTTAAAGAAGTTTGATGCCCTCAAAACGAAGCACTTTTGTGTAGAGGTAAATTGTGTCCAATGAACTCATTTTGATTCCAAAAATACGTAGTAGTTCTATGTCCACGGAATATTGGGACATCCTGTATAGTAGTTCTTACGTTCTTTCTACTCTTAATAAAAATAATAAAGTAAATTGCGTTTTTAAATAAATGCAACGCTTTTAAATACAAAATACAAACTTTAAAATATCTTAAGTGTCATGGGGAGCAAAGAGTCGATAAATCTCATGACATTTCATCAGTGGAGAAGGGTGAAACACGTTTTTTTTATCTAGATTTAGTTTATCTTACTTGCACTTACTTAAGGAACACCCCGTATAACCTATTTATTTCTAATTGAATAAAGAAGATCAGTCAGTCATTTTTTTTGGATGTAATTTTAATTATAGTCTATATCCATGATACTTTTATTCTACATTTTTCTCTTAGGTTAGGAATAGCGCTGTCCCATCTGGGGCCCTGCAACAACATCAGCGCTCACAGGGAGAACTGCCCTGTGGATTGCAGACAGGCTCCGCTGGATGGCCCCATATGCGGAAGTGACGGCAACGTATATAAAAGTACCTGTCAAATGAAATTGCTCACTTGCGGGTAAGTTAGAAAACGCTAATTTAATTTTCTTATATGTGTAGATTAATTGAATAAGTTATTCGATCATCACTACATTTTTCAATAAATTTATCAAAATAAAACACTAAACAACCATAATACACCAAAATACTTTTACTTTTACACTGGACGCGTTTCGCTAACCATGTTAGCATCATAAGCAGATGATTAAAAAGATGAATTGAGTTTTTAATCATCTGCTGATGATGCTACCATGGTTAGCGAAACGCGCGTCCAGTGTAAAAGTAAAAGTGTTTTGGTGTATTGTGGTGATTTAGTGTTTTATTTCGCTGTGTAACACCAAAGCTTCCAACCCCCAACTGTAATTAAGAAATTTATGTTGTCTTTCTTTTGAGGTATTATTTTACTTATTTTTTATTATATTGTGATAGCTATAGCCAACAAAAAATGCACATTAAAATTTCATAAAATAAGATTCCAAAAATTATAAAACTCGCTTTTTTAAAAGATATAATTCGCTGTCAAAAATATCATCAAATTTCTATAAAGTTGTCTACAACTGAGTACCTGCTATGGTTTTAACTGTTAGTTTGCAGTACCTGAATTATACATATACCTTATGCACAGCAGTTAAGCACATTTATGTTAAACATAGTGAATCAAAATAAAAAATGTATATAAAAAATAGAACTCAATATCAAAACATTATAGGCTTGGTACATTCTTCGCCGGTACTGCCACCATTATTAGTAAGTTTAATTGGGAAAGATTCTAAAGAAATAAAATAAAAAGATACATTTTTGATATCTTCAGAAGATCTAATGGTTAAAATACACCAAGCCTATAGGGGCTGAGACATTACCTTACCTTAGTTTATGCCACTATATCGGAAAATTAAAAAACTCTGTGAGGTTATTACCATTCTCTCTCAGATAGTCACTCATTTCTGACTTATTTAAGGTCATACTAACCTAGGAAGAAAAGAAAATATGTTCAGTTCTGTAGACAAACAAGATAAAGTAAACTCTCCAAAATTAATTATTTTACTGTGACCAAAATTTTAAAATAAAATTATTACCTTATGGTATCTCTTTTTATTCTTAATCTAAGGGTATCTCGAACAAAGGCTCCATCCTCACTGTTCTTTTCTGAATAACTAAATACACGTAATAAGTTCACTACATTCAAAACATAAAATAAACGTAGAGATTACGTAAAACGCTTTACAATTTTTGATCAATGCTATCCGCTGCACATTCGAAATTGTATCGCGCTTACCATGAAAAAGTTCATCACTAAAAAGCCAAACAAAAAATTACTACAAGCATAACTTACTCTGTTATAACGTAAATAAAAAAATTACCCATTAATCTCAATAACAGACATATATGAAGGTCATATTATTATAGAAAAAATCACCGAGGTACAAGAAGTAGGTATTTACGCCATTTAAAAAAAAAACTAAAAAATATTTTTATCTCTAACCTGTACATTTTGGTTCCCTATTGGCAGAGTTACGACTGATAAAAATGTTGCTGTTTTCTAGTGCGCTACGACAGATTGACAACTGTCCCAACCGGCCCAACGATTTGATGACAGAAGCGATTGACGATTATAATATTTTTTAAGAACGTTGTTAAATTAATAATAAGGTTGTTTAGAGAAAAATTAGTATTTTATAGCAACAACTGGTCTTTACCACGATTTATTACTGAATAATGAATATTTTTCGTATTTTTACGTTTTTGGGAACTGGCTCAGATTAAATCCATAGATTAATTCATCCTATTGTTAAGGGACCATTATAGAACCTCTAACATTGGTTTTAAATGTATTTCTATTATATGACTTAATAATATAAAAAATAATAAATAAAATTTTTTAAGTAATATTATAGAAAACCATGGAAATAAGTAAACTCTGATTATATGAATTGTTTCATTGAAATATACAGGGTTGTTCACCACATACTACACGGAGTATTGAAGCTAAACCATTAGATTTTTACAAATTATAAGTTTTGAGTACGTTGAAGGACTATTAGAGCTACAATCTAAAAATATTTTTATAAGATACAGAGTGTCCCAAATAAATAAAAAATATCAAAGTTTTATTTTTTTAAATGGAACACCCTGTATATTATTACATTTTTAGTTTCTACGATTAAAATAAAGGTAAATTTGATTAAGGTTTATCAATCTTAAACCTTACCGTTTTTGAAATATTTTCAATTTTGTGAAATTGCAGTAAAAATTTTAAGGCTTCATTTCTCCAAGGGTATCAAAATTTTTAATACTAAATATTTATTGAAGTTTATTTATTGATCAGTTATTGTGTTGCAATAATAAAAATAATACTACGTCATACAGAGTGTCTACAAATTTATTTTAAATAATGTCTAGCTTTAAACGGCAATAACTTGTTTAATTTAAATGGAACACCCAGTATATTTTAGAAGAATCAGATGCACAATTTAATTGTCTGGCAAATTGTATTATACCATTTTTTACTTATCCCTTCAAGTTTTTGTAGAAAAAGTATTTTTTATAATTTAGCCCTCATTTATCAATGTATCCATGGAATTGACATTTTAGATTGTTTTTTAAGCAACAAATGTACAAAATGTACAGGTGCTAAGAACGATAATAATATTACTAGCCCATTTGTATACAAAAGGAAAACTATTTAAATCTGTATAAAAAAGTATACCATTAATTAAATATACCACCATTATTTCCGTCCAAATATTAATTAATTACATACTTAATTGTGTTAGTTAATAAATTATTTTAAATAAAAGTGGATTTGAATCAGAAATTAATATAATAATATTATGAAAAATGAAAATGAACGCCTCTGTTGTTGTAAGTAAGCATTCGTCAAAAAATTAAATAAAATTTTTAAGATCTTCCTTTTTACCACACTGTCTAATAAACATACAAAATTCAGTTTTTTAGTATTTGGAGCAATTATTATAGTAATCAAAGCAAACAGTCAATTAATGTAGTTTGAATACTGGAATCATATTAATTGGTCTTCTTTAACAAAAATTTAGAACAGTTTTTTTTATTTTTTAATGAAATAAATCAATTTTATCGACAACAAACAATCTTTAAAAATATTCTAAAATGTCAATATTCCATGGGTATATTGATAAATGAGGTCTAAATTATAAGAAAATGCATTTTCTACAAAAACTTGAAGATATAGGTAAAAAATACTATAATACAATTTGATAGACAATTAAATTGTGCATCTGATGCTCCTAAAATATACAGGGTGTTCCATTTAAATTAAACAAGTTATTGCCGTTTAAAGCTAGAAATTATTTAAAATTAATTTTTAGACACTCTGTATGAGGTAGTATTATTTCTATTATTGCAACACAATAATTGATCAATAAATAAACTTCAGTAAATATTTAGTATTAAAAACTTCTATACCCTTGGAGAAACGAAGTCTTAAAATTTTTACTGCAATTTCACACAATTGAAAATATTTCAAAAACGGTAAGGTCTAAGTGCGATAAACCTTAATCAAATTTACCTTTATTTTAATCGTAGAAACTAAAAATGTAATAATATACAGGGTGTTCCGTTTAAAAAATACAACTTTGATATTTTTTATTTTTTTGGGACACTCTGTATCTTGTAAAAATATTTTTAAATTGTAGCTCTAATAGTCCTTCAACGAACCCAAAACTTACTGTTTGCAAAAATCTAATCGTCTAGCTACAATACTCCGTGTCGTATGTGGTGAACAACCCTGTATACAGTTTCGAAACTAGTTTCGAAACAATATTCCTGAATTTGAAAATAAAAAATATTTTGTATTATAAAATTAAATTAAAATAGTATGTTTCTCCCTGTTGTTTCCATGTTATCTATTATGAATGTATGTATATTTTTTTTATTTAAAGAATTTGTTGAACGACAAAAATTTTGATTGTAATGAAGCTTGATGTTGATGACCAAAGTATACAGAATTAACAAATTTACATTGTTTTCTACATTTTTTAAAAGAGTACTGCTAGTAGTTTCTAACTTAGAGTACTTTTTTTCCAGTCAGGGCGTGGTAAAAACCAACAAGAAATACTGTCAGACAACCAGGCATTGCAGAGAATCGTGCTGGCGCAATGCCCGACCAGCTTGCGGTTCTGATGGCAAAATTTACACCAACGTGTGCAAAATGAAGTCGAAAAACTGTGGGTGAGTTAAACCAATAATCTAGTTGACACGATAGTTAGTGTGACATCTCTGATACATCCAACCAAAGTCAGATTCACACACTCACATCATAATAAAACTCTTATGCATTCTTCATTTTATTATCATATTCTGCTATCTATAACAGGTTTTCATACGGTGTTGTATATTTTATGACCTCAATGGTTCTTCAAATCATTACTATTTTCAGAAAGCATGTGTTTGAGGTACCCATGGCCTACTGCGTCGCTCAGGAGAGAACTACAAGCAGTTCATCCTGTCCCATGGACTGCGAAGATGAAGTAGAGAAGCCCACTTGCGGATCAGACGGCTACATATACAAGAGCGAATGCGAGTTAAAAATGTTAAATTGCGGGTAAGACAAGTTAGTTTTATTTATTGATAATTCTTTAAAACTCAAGAATTGACAAAACTGATTAAATGGTTATTGATCTATTCCTTTCAGCAATATTAGAAGAGTAGCAAAGGTAGACTTCGAGAAATGCAAGAATCGCCTCAATAAGTGTCTGAATCTAAAATGTTCGGAGGATTTAGATCCGGTATGCGGGACGGACGCCAAAACCTACCAGAACCAATGCCTCCTGAGCAGAGCCACCTGTTTCAAAGGCATTCAGTTCGCGCATTTGGGCAACTGTACCGAATTGAAAGAGGAAGCACCTTGTCCTGGGTACTGCGATGAACTTTTAGATGAGGAACCTGTATGTGGAAGCGATGGAAATGTATACAGGTATTTAAATTCATTGTTTTTTAATGAAATTATCTTTTCCTGAAAATATTTGAAAAAATTATTTCAAACTCATTAAGCCAGATTTTTAGGGAAACTAAGAACTTTACTGTAACTAAACTTACTAAACTAAGAACTTAACGTAACAGGCCTTTAACTATTCTAAAGATGTTTTTTCCCTAAATATATCTTTCGGGGATGGTGCATTGGAGAGCTCACGTTGGCACAGAATGTGCATTAGTGTTTAGTCAGTCCGTTTTTTAGCAGTTCTGTTACCTGTTGAGCTGTTATCTTTTGTAATTCAACATATCGTTAACATAAATCATTGGTGAAGAATGTAGATTGTTTAGGAGGAGAGTTAATCACCGCAGATAATTACAGATCTATTATGTATTTCCCTTTCTTGAGTTATAACGAGTTCTAACTCATCATACAGTCTCAGGGCTTTAACAAAAGCCAGTATCTGAGACGGCTCCACAGAGACCAGCTCTCCATCGTCGACATCAGCCGTACCAAAGTTCATGGCACGAACGGTCGTCGTCTCGGCGCACTCAGTGATAAGGTGTTCTGATGTTTCCCCATTTTTCCCACAGAATATGCATTCGCCGTTCTTACTCAACTTCAGCCTGCAGATGTATTCGTTGAGGAGACAGTATCCTGTTAGAAACCTCGTGACAATCCGAAGATTGTTTGTACTTAAATCAAGAAAAATCTTTGATTTTTCTAGGTCGAATGTACTGAGAAACTTTTTCGAGTGTCTTAGACCGTTGGACCAAAGACACCCTTTCCAGGTTACAGATGGAGTCTTCCACATTCTTCAGTTCTGCTTTCAGTTGGTTCCCGCTTGGAACATCATTGGTGCATTGTCTCCTGACTAGCATCTCCTCTCAGAGATACACTTTTGCAACAACTCTCCAGTAACCCTTATACTTTTTTCTAGATAACTTTTTTTTTATGGTAGAACCAAAATGTGTTGATAATATTAATTATATATTAGGTCGAGCTGTCATCTGAAGAAAGAGACTTGTGGTCAGCTGGTGATCGAAGTTCCACCTCAGCACTGTAGGACTACAGCTCTATGTAACGAAGATTGTTCAGAAGACCGAAACTTCGTTTGTGGATCAGATAACAAAATCTACAGAAACGAATGTGAAATGAAAAGGGATAACTGTGGGTAAGTTTCAATAAGTTCTTATTTTATAAATTTTGATGTTTACTTTAGTATACAGGGTCTCTTAATTGCGTGTATTTTAAATGTGATATAATTCGACTCAGAGGCACTCGATTAATTTTTTTTCAAAAAAACATGTTGAAAATTTCAATTGTTTTACATTTTTCGCAAAATTATAAAAACCTTTTTCGTGTCGCATGTTAATTTTCCTGGAATTTCATGACGGTGTATCAGAGCATTGCAATATTGTCACCACGTACGTTGGCCACATTCTGTATATTTAGGTGTTTACAGTTGATTTTTCGGCTCATATAGATGATAATTTTCTACATAATAAATTATTAATAAATCTACTGTACTATTATTACACGCACTGTACTTATTTTTAAAACAACTAATATATTTTTTCAATAATTATTAGTGAGCAAATAAAATTATTAACAATTCAAAGCAAATTCTTTTAGAGCCATATTACGAAATATTTTTAGTCAACTAAAATGTATACTTTCTTGACCATGTGGTAACATTTACTCTAAAAAGAAAATCATTAAGTTTTATCGAAAATTGGTTTCGTTATTTTTTAACCTGTTACATTTTTTGTATATTTTATTTTTGTAACTTCAAAATTAAAGAGTTTAATAAAAAAAAATTATTATGTTGGTAAAATGTTAATTGCAGTTACTTATTACATCCCCTTGTATTGGCGCCGCGCTAGCCGCTGTTAATCACAATTACCTAACAATATAAGACCAAAATGCTTAAAATTTGTATCTGTATATTTGCCATTTTTATTTTATTTTTAATTTTTATTAAAGATTATATTTTAATTTAAACATTAGCTTTGTTCGGGTTCTTGTTATTACTGATTCTGAACCGTCCTAGAACTCAGCGAAATAGCGCAGCGCATGCGCAAATGAAATAATGTCTTCATATTTCCTTCTGCGCATACGCATCACAGTTCTAGGACGGTTCAGAATCGGTAATAAGAGAAACCCGAGGCTCTGGTGCACAATAGGTCCCCACGTATTTAACACTTTTTTGGGATTTTTTTGCAAGATTATCTTAAACTGAATATTTTTAAGCATAAAAATTGTTGGATGAATGTGTTTTATCTTTAAAAAGCGGCAAAAAAACGTATTTTAGGTACAGGCGACGGACAGTAAATATGTTAAATTTTCTACACGGATTCAGTAAAAACATCACATATTAGTACTTTATTACCTTACGTGGAATGATCTAATTTAAGCACAAAAATGTAACGAATCTTCTTTGTAAGCATAAAAATTAAGAAAATATATTTATTTACATCAGCTCAAGCTAGCAATTTTATGACTTTTTCGATTGACAGTTAATCGATCATCGGTATGTCATCTATGGCCTTCGCATAGAATTTGCGACGTTGTCAATAAAATTACTTTATATGATTTTCTTCTGAAATAAAGTTGTTGTGGAGGGACTTAAAACGGTAAGTTATCACTTTAGTGCAACAAAAATTGAACTGTCTAGTAGCTTATTCGTTAGTGTGGATTATTTTAAAGCAATTTCTGAAATAAAATTTGCGGATTTTTCAGGTTCTACGAAAATATAAGTTTTTTTAATATATACTGTTTTTCGACGCGTAATCAATGAAGTTTTGTCATTAGGCTCAATTAGGTTAGCCTGGTTATTTGGAAGGTGGTAATGCATTGGTTAGCCTGGTTATTTGGAGGGTGTTAATGCAATGGTTAGCCTGGTTATTTGGAGGGTGGTAATGCATTGGTTAGCCTGGTTATTTGGAGGGTGTTAATGCATTGGTTAGCCTGGTTATTTGGGGGTGTTAATGCATTGGTTAGCCTGGTTATTTGGAGGGTGGTAATGCATTGGTTAGCGTGGTTATTTGGAGGGTGTTAATGCATGGTTAGCCTGGTTATTTGGGGGTGTTAATGCATTGGTTAGGTTAGGTTAGGTTAGATATTCTGGTTATTTGGAGGGTGGTAATGCATTGGTTAGTCTGGTTATTTGGAGGGTGTTAATGCATTGGTTAGCCTGGTTATTTGGGGGTGTTAATGCATTGGTTAGGTTAGGTTGGTGGGGAGTGTTTGGAAGTACGCAGATCACATCCATTTCGGAATCTTACTGAACAAATCCGGGAAAAATATATTTTTAAACAATTGTGCTAAATACTGTGTAATGATTTTATTGTCAATTTATTTTTATAGTGTTTTTGTTTTGCCTCGTTTATTATATTTTTAATTTTTCGTGTTCTTAAAGTGCGTACTAAATGTAAAAAAAACGAATATAAAGTAGAACGTTTTCGTCGATTTTACACAGGGTGAGTATGGCAACACTGTGCATAACCTTGTATTTTACTGTCTTTATGAAGGTTATAATAGGGAGTTTTCGCATTGAAATGTAGTGAAAATTTGGAATTTTCAATTATTTTTTTTCGTAGAAAAAGTGGTTCATCCAACAATTTTTTTCTTTTAAACCATTCCATTAACTATGGGATCCACATTAAAAATTAAAAAAACCACGATTTCGTGGGGACCTGTTCTGCACAAGACCCGAAACCCGAATTAATAAGCTATTATTAAATACTTAAAGTTTATATAAATAGTACTGAAGCTGTGGTTGGTTCCTTGTGAAACATCGTTGAAATATTAGTATTTTAATAAAACACGCTTTTAGATGTATCAAATATATATATATATATATATATATATATATATATATATATATATATATATATATATATATATATATATATATATATATATATATATATATATATATATATATATATATATATATATATATTTGCTATGGGGGTGAACTCTCTGAACCCACCCCCATAACAAATATATATATAGTTACAGTGTAGTTAGACGATTCGTTCTTAAAAAACTCTTGAAAAAGGCCTAACAAACCGAAACATATATGTAGAGTTAAAGTTACTCTTATTAAAAGTTTTTTGATACATCTAAAAGCGTGTTTTATTAAAATACTAATACTTAAAGTTTATGTTATGTAGTGTTGTTTAAAAAAAATAGAAGCTATAGAACAAGCGATGTTCAATGCATGTTTCAGGAAATATACCTTAGGAAAACGTTAAGCATTTTTGTGTTGGCTAGAAAAATTTTTAAGTAAAGCCCTACACTCAAAATGCGCTGATTCGTCAATTTGGAGCATCCATGCATCCATGCATCCATGCACATCGTGAGTATGATGTGGTTCGTCTGTGCGGTTTGTCGATGCGATTCGTTAGTTTGTTTGGAAATTCGTCGGTTGTGTTAGTGATATTTTTTTTGGTCCACTCAAAAACTGACGTTCCGCCGAACTGTCGCACAACCCATCGCATCGACTCATTGGCTCACCAAATCAACGCATTGTTGAATCGCATCGGCGAACCGCATCAACGAATAGTGAGTATGGGGCTGAAAAAGCCACCAAATATCTAGTTTCAGTTGGGATCTACGTAATGGTATTTTACAAAAAAATATCTTACTTATTTTTAGATTACATTTTTAGCAAAATATGCACGTTTCTTCAAGGAATGAACCCACCATAAAGCCACATAATTTACATGAAAGGCAAAAAACAATAAAACAACATATATTCGGTTTTCTATGCTATTTATAGAATATTAAAGGAAAATCTAGGCCAAAACTGAAATCGGATGGGACTGTTTCTGAATACGTAATATAAACAAAACGATCGAACATACATACAGTATACCGAATGTTTATACCTACATAAATAGTTATATCGAACACATCACATTAATAAAACATAATATCTCGATATGAGGTATGTTTTTTTGGCTTGAATTAGTTAGTTCATAGTAAATATCCCCATATTAACGTCTGTTCGAATAAATATGATCCTAATTAATGGTAATGCAGTCTAACATACTAGTAGTTGTCAATATAGCTTATGTTAATTATTATAGTGATGAATATCGATATATTTCGCTATATTATGAGCTGTATAATTACTACTACAGGCATATCTGCAATTTGCCATAAAGCTAATAAATCGATGCCGAAAAATACGTACTATGATCAAGGAAAATTAGATCCCGAAAACCAATGACTGAAGGAGAATTACCCGAAAACAATTAATCGAATAGAAAATGACCCGAAAAGAAATATCGCCGAATTACAACTGACAATTTACAGGAAAAATTAATTTTTGGTAAAATACTGCTCTAATATAGAATATTTAAACACGGTCCATTTAATAAGAACCAAACCAAAGCAACAATAACAGGGTGTCCCAGAAATAAGGCAAGTATTTTAAGGGGTGGTAGATCTCGGTAAAAGAAACATATTTTCTCTTTATCGTTTTTCAAATAAGTCCAAAATAACGGAGTTATTTTACTTTGAAAATTTCCAAAAAAAAATATTTTTTGCTAAAATTTTGAGAACCACTGGATCTTTTCTGGATTTTCTTTTTTGTAAATTTAATCTAATACCTAAGTTGCAATATTATCAAGAAATTACGTTTTTTAACTAAAACCTAAAAAAAAATTTTCAAAAAATTTCGAATTTTCAAATATCTTTTCGCGAAAAAAACTCTTGTGTTTTCAGTTAAAACAGGCGTGTTTCTGGGGTTGAACTATACTACCAGTTAAAATACTTGCACTTATTTCTAGGACGCCCTGTATATTAAAAAATAGTGTGCGCACTAAGTGCGCATATTTGAAGTGAAACTTCTTACTAACACCTATTAAATTGAAGGTTTAAAATGTTGAAAATATACCTAATAAATTAAGAATTAATAAATAATTTGGTCCACTTTTATAAAATTTGTTTTAAAATGTCCGTCTGAGGACTCCATTCGGGTATCTCCATCCACGTGCCTACTTTGGTTCCAATCGACCCACAACTAAAAATCCTGATGATTTCGTCCATTTAGCGGCATCGGCATCGGTTCGAAACGTCGAGGGCGCCATCCTGTGGTTCTTCCCCAATTATGCCAAAATCGACCCACATATTTCTTCAATATCAAAATCAAATACGTTTAAATAAAATATACGACGGCCTCCCCATAAGAGCAATGAGATGATTTACGTCCCAGTATTGAAGGAAGACAGAAAATCGAGTCGAATGGTTTCAAGACATAGGTTCGTCCTTGTTTAGTCAAACCTCCTACAATACAAGGATAGACTTATGTAGGAAATGCATTGAAATTCTATAGCCATCCATCAATATCGGGACAGGAATTTAAGCGGTACCCTCCGTATACTTTATTTTAAACGTATTTGATCAAAATACTTAGCCCCACCATAATGAAGATGTAAACGAAACGTCACGCGTCGTATCCAACTTTGCAGGGTGGGATAGTCTCACATAGCCTATCCACCAAATTTGGTGGCGATCGGACGACATCAACTTTTGACCTTTCTTACGTCAAAACTATCACACATTCAAATACTTGACTGTGTCCCACACAGTCAATATATAATTAATATTAAGTAATATTAATATTCCGAGTTTCAGCCTCTCCAAAGACCCATCTCAACTTTCTTAGGCTCTCCTTTCCACTTTTTCTCTCGTGTGTCGTGTCGTACGTGACACGACACGACACCATGAAATTTTACACCCTGCGCGCGTAAAGAAGTTTCAGTTCAAAAATTGTATTAATCATATCTCCAATAAATTGTTTCTCCACCCTTGTATTTTTGATAACGGATCCTTGTATTTTTTGTAACTAGGAAGTAAAAGTTTCTGTTTTTCCTTTTTAGTAACTAGAAATTCGACTGCCATTCTACGTGTTTATACTCGACTGACGATAAGCATAATAAATACAATTTATCAAAAATTGGCAAAGATGACAATGACATGATAATTACTGATTTTTTTTATTTTATATTATTACTGGGCAATTTTCCATCAGGGCAAAATTCGTTTTGGTGATTTGCCTTCGGGCAATTTTCCGGCCACGCTAAAAATTAGTTTTTGTTTACGTTTCGCAATTTTCTCACATAAATTAAAACAAAAGAAAAACCAAATTCATAACATGATTAACAGAAATTTAACGAGAAGCAGTTAAAATATTTTTCAAAAATCGCCATGTTTTGTGATACCTATCGATAAATATACCCATCACTAATATCGATTTTTTTCTAATTTTAACAGGAAACACGTCTTCGTCGTGCCAATGAAACGGTGCATCTCCGGCTTTCTCTTCAAAGGCTGTCAAAAGATCTGCCCGACCTACTACGACCCAGTTTGTGGCACCGACAACATGACCTATAGCAACACGTGCTTCTTGGAAATCGAAAATTGTAGGTCGAGGTCGCTGGTCACCATGAAAAACATGGGCACTTGCTCGGAACCTGTCAACGAGATACCCAAGAACTACTTGTACTGAAGAAGGAGAGCCAGATTTAGATGTTTCGGTCGATATTTTGGTGGAAAATTAAGCGACAGCGGTGTAAAAAGATCGGGATTCCAACCTGCTATTGAAAAAATGTTAAAATTTCTTATGATCAAAAAAAAAAGAGAAATTAGTTGAGCTAGAGTATCTAGATCTTAGAGTAATAGGTATATCATTTTTTATAATAACTAATTTCCAGTCTGACCCTTGTCTGACCTGACAAACAAAATGTCTCATTAATGTTTAATGTTTAACACAAAAAATGTGTTTTTTGTATTCTTTGTTATAAGAGATTGTTTACCTATAATCTAGATTTATCCAAATTTATTCAATATTTATGAGTCAATTTTATTTACATTGGGGAATTCATTAAAAATATCAAAGTTAAAATTATTGCGCTTAAGGGTAATCACACACATACAGTTTTTCTCCAAGGTACAACCGCAATCGAAACCTTGAGGATTGCGGATGACTCAGATATGGACTGAAACATATACGTCAGTTCTTGACTCGTTTATTCAGGGTCCAAATATGCTCGGCCATGTGTTCTTTATGCTCGTTGAAAAATATCTCAAGGCTTGGACTGCGCAGTCTATCCACGAGGAACTGAATGTGTCTGGCTATTTATACATTTTAATTATTGTTAAAATGTTTTTCGTAAAATACAACAATTTTTTATCTTCACTGAGATTGTAAATTAAAAATAGAAAATAAATCAAAATATACCTAGTATACCTACATAATCGTGATAGTAACATGTAGACTATAGTAGATTTGTTTGGTGGTAATATAATATAATATATTTTTTATATATAGAATATATAAAAATAATTCTGTTTGTTAGAATTATGCTGTGTTATTATATATATTTTTTTTTGTTCACACTGCCAATGGCTACTATGACATAATATGTTTTGTTAGCTTATTATTAATCTCTATTTTATTTATGGTCCTATATATTGACATAACATTTTCTTCCCAATAAAAGATTTTCCATCGGCTGACAAAGTTCTGCTGCAATACTATGTACCACCCTGTATAATATAAATTTCTCGCAGAGAATAAATTGAAAATTGTGCCAATCGTGTTCTAGGAAATAGTAGAGAAAAATAATTTATTTTAATATTTTATTTAAATTATGATAATTTATAATATTATTTTAGAAATACACATTTTTAGGAATGTATACTACTAACTTAAATAAAGGTTATAGATTTAGTAATTATGTTTTTTTTTTAATCGCATTATTATAGTAGATCATTTCCCTATCGTGCTTCAAAAATTAAAAGCTCGGCAAAGAAGCTAGGCTTAAGGAAACAGAAAACTAAAAAGTGTATTCTTATCTGTTGCTACGATACCAGCAATTATTATTGTTGTGTTAGTAGCATATGGTTTCCCCTGTTTTTTGCTTACCATATGTTGTAAGTAATTAGTAACACTATTAGGTAAGTAGGATATATTAGTGTAAGTAATTAGTAAAATTTTTATTTTATATTTTCCTTTGTTTGTATATTTTAATTCTTATTTTTCTTTACTTAAGTAAATTTTAAATGGATAATAACTTCAATTTGAGAGTAGTTACACTGTAATTAATTAGAATTGTTTGTAGAAGTTGAAACTTAAAACAGTATGATGTTTAAGGTAAAATAAGAAGTAATTTAAAGAGTGGTGGATCTGAAAAAAAGAAATATATTTTCTATATGCTATTGTTCAAAATAAATTGAAATACTTAACCGTATTATTTAACTCTTTTAAGAAACTAAATTTTAACAATATGTACAGGGTAGTCGAAATTGGCCTATTTTAACAGAGAAAACCTATTTCCTGACTAGAACAAAGCCGACATAGATGTCATGGGCTCGATTTCTGAGATACGTTTAATGGCATAAACCGCCTGTTGATATTTCCATTGCCAACTGAGATACGGCGTCTTTTTGAATTTTTGACCGTTTTAAAAAATTGCCTATAACTTTTTTATGTTCCGGAATTCTGTAAAAACGTTCAGGGCACTTTTTTTATACTTTGTTTTTTTGTCAGAAATACTTAATAAAAAATATATTTTTTTTAAATGAAAATCATAGTTAGTTGGGTCTATGAACTTAAAAAATGCTGGCGCTTAACTCTTTCTAACGATATAAAGTTAGAGGTATCTATTTCTAAACACAAAAGAAATAGGTGGTTTATCTTTATATCGAAGCGGGCCTTGATTTTGTGTTGACCTATTTGCCTAATTATTTTTTATCACAATTTAATATTGTACGAGCCCCAACAACTATATGTTGGAACAAGGTCTTTTTTTGCAATAAAAATAGTAATTTGTTAAAACGACTCAATTTATTTTGTTTATTATTCTAAATTCAAACATTACATTATGATCTAGACAATTTTACTATATTTTTATAACTTTGCAAACAAATCACTTTTGTTAATAGCTTATTTTGTCAAAATCAAGCCAAATTTGCCGACAACTATATATTGGGACAGCACAACAAGAAATTTGTTTAATACGGAGTTACATCACCTTTCGTCTTAGCAACTGCCTGAACTCTTAATGGCATTGTATTTACCAAAGATTGGCACATTTGAGGAGAAAAATTATCCCAAATTTCCTGCAGCTTTGTCCGCAAATCAAAAATTGTTCGTTGAAGGAGGTTTCTTAAATATTGCTTCATTTTATGCCACACAGTTTCTATAACATTGAGGTCCGGGCTACTTGCAGGATGGGATAGAACTTTTATATTATTATTACCGAACCAATTTTTAGTTAATTTTGCTGAATGGCACGATGCTCCATCTTGTTGGAAAATATAGTCTTCGTTTGGAAACAATTCTTGAGCACTAGGCAAAAGTGAGGTCTCAAGTATATGTTGATATTTTTGGGCGTTAACAGTGCCATCTATAAAATTTAATTTGCCCAAACCTCTTGCTGACATGCAACCCCAAACCATAATCCCCTTAGGAAATTTAACAACCCTCTTTAAGCAATCTTTATGAAAGGCTTCTGCTTTATTTCGTGTTATTCGTTTTCGATGATCTCCAACGCAAACATCAAATTTAGACTCATCGCTAAGATTTTGCCCAATTGTAGCGATTTTTCTTTTGAATTTCTGTCAGTAGCGGTTTTTCTTTGGCTTAAATAAGAATTTGTATCAATAATCTTCAGGCAATTGATTATTCACACAAAATAAAGTTTACCTTGTAAAACCCCAGACCGCATTTATGGATATACATATTTTCGGCAACATTCTCTTGATATATTTAAACCAGTTACACTATTCCATTTAACTGTTCCTTTGCGAAGAGTACTTCTTCTCGCAGTCTTGCAAATTTTTACTAAATTTCGTAAATCTCTCTGAGATACAACTTTTGGTCTTCCCGAACTTTTACCTCTAACGTCTACATTGGCAGAATCGTCGTATTTTTTTATTATATTAAAGACCGTGGTTTTTGGAATACTTCAATCATCAGAAATTTTTCGAATTGTTTTTCCCGTACTGTATCGACGAATGATAATTTCGCGTAGTTTTTGATTTGTAGCTTTTCCACGGACCATTACTTTGAATGAAATTAACAAAATTGAAAATTAAAAAAAATTTAAATTACTTACAGTAGATCTCACTACTCAAAGTATCGAGTCACTTACAAGCTGTCAATGCTGAAGTAAACAGTTTGCGACATTTGTGACGTTTATAGCAAAGCCGCCTATGATGATATTAATTATTTAAAAATACTTGTCCCAACATTTAATTGTCAGCAAATTTGTCCTTTTATGAACAAAATCCGCTACTGTAAATATGGATTGATTTACAAATTCATAAAAATATTGTCAAGTTGTTTAGGATATATGGCTATGTTTAAAAAGTCATTTTGAGAAACCAGGGCAATAATTCCAAAATATGACCTTGTCCCAACATATAGTTGTTAGTAGAGACTTTTGAAATTGCATAGAGACTTTTGAAAAGGTAAATTAACAATCTTGATTAGTATTACTAATTACAATAATCAAAATCGATACTATAAACAAAGAACAAATCTAAAAAAACGTATTTTTTACTTTCGTAACGATTATTTTGTGCGAATTTCAGCTCTCTCCTAGATAGTTAAAACACAAAATAATATGGCATATAACAAAAATCGTTTATTCCAAAACTTTGAGTACCTATAGTTGCCAAACATATTCATCAAATCGTAAAAATTACTTAATATAAAGCTAAGTATCTTGAAAGAAAACGTGTATTTTCCTGCGATATAACATCAAACTTTTTAACAATATCAAACGATTATAGTTACAAATATATAGTCATTATATAAACTTAAACTCGAGTTCTAGAAAATGTACAAAAAATTACCGATTTAAAAAAAAATGAACAAATATTTAAGATAAAATACATGTTTGAGATATTCTATTATATACACTGTAAGAAAAAAGGTTAATTATTGTTGTACCATGTGATCGAATAAAACAGCCGTAGACGCAATAATGATCGATCTATACTCCTATCATGACGACTTTTTTCGATCAGACGGTGCTTAAATAAATATGTATAGAAAAAATACCTTAAGTAAAGGTAAGTCAAACTAAACACTGGTAGAAATTTGAGAATGGAGTTGTCCCCAAGATCTCAAAGTTTCTATGACAAAATTGATGTCATTGTACCAATGTTCCTTGTCTTCTAACGTATCAAATGACAGAAAATAGTGAATGACTTCTCCGTTATTCTTAACTATCAAAAGTAAAGTTTTTGGTCGTGGACATAGACTTCTGTCTGCAGGTGACGCTTCCTCCAAGACATTTTTCAAGTCTATGGCTCCAATTGGATCGGCTGAAGATGATTCTTCAGATGGATAATTCCAATATTCCAGGAGTGAACCGACAAGAAGACACCATCTGCGATTCCACACTAAATGTGATTTTTCTTCTAAAAAAAAGAAGATTTTAAAAGACGTATCATAAATTGTCATATATTGTATAAGTGTCGTATACTGTCAAAAAGTAGTAGTAGTAAATATTAGACGATCAAATCTATTTTCCAAGGCTTCTTGATTAAAAATTTGTGATTTTATCTTTACCACAGCCATGGCACTCTAGATTGAAATTTAAAATACAATTTTTTTTACATCAAAATGTCATTTTCTATCAAATAAAGTAAAAAAAGTCAAAAGTTGTAGTTATTTCCGATGAAACAGGAAATTACCAGTCTATGTCATATATTAATATACCAAACCTAATTTTATTTGAAAAAATAAAAAAGTAATACTGGTCACTTTTTAAAATCGCCCTATATAAAAAATACTGTTTTATTTTTCTGGTTATTTTAAATGGAATTGTAAACTATTCTTGCTGAATTTACTTTATTTTATCTACTTTTAAAAAATTTATATCTTTTAAATGTCCCTGTATATTTTTGAATCTATAATATATCTGAATAAAGACGTCGAAAAGTTTGTTCATGGAACAGATGTCAAAAATTAATACGTAGTTGACTATTAATGGTCTACATATAAAAAATCAATGATACATTTGTTTATTGTCAATATTGCTAAACTTAGTCATACACTTTACATTAAAATTATTGCTAGAAAATTTTAATTTATTTAAAATGGCCCCTAGGTAAACAATTACGCTTTTATACGAAATGTTTATATCTAAATTTAGGCAAAACAAAGTATTTATGTACTTAAAATGAATTATTACGAAAATATACAAAAATTTGTTTTTTTACTGAAACACACACGTCCATGGGCCTAAACACAGTGGACAACGGTTTATTCCGGTTTACGGATAATTTTTTGTAGTTTATATCAAATATTCAATTGAATAGAAACTTTAATCCTAATAAATAACATAACTTCTATGTATATCAATATCAATATCGATACGATAGTATTTAGTGGAAATGAGCACATTGCTGTTGAGTTTGAAGCGAATAATAAACATGTTCAAAAGAAACTGTGAAAATGTTGACGTTGATAGGGAAAGGCCGTTGGAGCTGTTTAAAGAATATAAAATATATTTTATATTCTTTAAACTGTGGATAAAGATTCTAGCGAAGCAACGAAATAAAATGTATTTGTATGCAAGTGTTTATGTTAAAGCTACGAGTACAGGGTGGGTCAAATTCGACGCTTTTAAAGGGAAACACCCTTTTTTATAGGAGATAGTCGAAAACTAATAAACTAAAAACATGATGGTGAAAACCGCACATCGATATCTGTTACCGTTTCGAAGTTACGGGGTGTGTTTCAAAAATGTGCATTTAATTTAAACAAATCGCTGTAACTTTTTTGCTATGGAAAATTTTCAATTTTTATGAAAACAGCTTATTGAGTTTATAATCATCTGCTGATGATGCTAACATGGTTAGCGAAACGCGCGTCCAGTGTAAAAGTAAAAGTGTTTTGGTGTATTGTGGTGATTTAGTGTTTTTATTTTGCTGTGTAACACCAAAGGTTCCAACCCTCAACTGTAATATACCGATTAAGTCATTTAAAAGTCCAGACGGCCACTACACTACTTGCGAAATAAGCCGAAGTAGGGCAAAGTCGAATAGTGAAAAGGGTTGTTTCGTGTTTCCTCGTCTAATGAAAATAAGCCGAGACGGCACAGAGGCAAAGTTAGACAAGGAAATATTTATGACCTCTTCACTATTCGACCATGACCTACTTCGGGTTAGAGTCCTCGCAGATGACTTTAGTAAAGTAGTTACAAGTTACAAATAACGTAATTATTTTTAGAGTGCTGCCACCATCGGAGAATATCGTAAACAACCGGCATACCGTCCTGGTCATCCAATTACTGTGTATAGGATTTTAATTTTTATAAGAATCGTTTTATGATAGCTGACAAAGTTTAAGACGGAAACAGTTTAACAATTTATTTCTCACATATTCTATCTTTACTGTCAGCTGGCCGATTTTTTAAGTACGCAACGATTACAAATATTTACGCAACGTCTTCACCATGCGGTTCGTGGATGCGATTCGTTAGTTCGTCTGGAAATTCGTCTATTTTGTTCGGTATATTTCTTTTAATGGTTCGCCCAAAAATCGATATTCTGTCAAATCGCCGCACAACCCATCGCACGGACGCGTTTGCGCAACAAATCGACCTATCGACGAACCGTGTCAGTGTACACATTAAGTGTACACATTAAGTATTGATCTTTATTATAATATATAGCTTACTGTAACACTTAAATAAAAACTATACATTTGTATATTTATGGTTATTGTGCTACCTTTTGAGGGATGTGAAATAAATGATTTATTTATAATAATATTGAATTTTTGCAGGGTGGTGTGTGTTAAAAAACTAGTGTTACAACGATTGTGATGATTGTGTGTTACAACGAATGTTACAACGATTGTGTGTTACAACGATAGTGTTACAACGATTGTGAGTATGGTATTACATTATCATAATGTTATAGTATGAAATATACCTACTACCAGTTTTGTTTAATATTGGTACAGAAAACTTATCAGTATAAAGTTTTACTTATCTTTAGCCTTTTTAATGCTGTTTGTAATCCTCTATGTCTATAATAATGGACAACGAGTAATTAGTAATTCTGAATATATCTATAAAAACTTTTAGTTTTAAGTACGCCTATGACTGAAATGCAGCGCGCACCTTCTCCTTCTAGTCAGCGGCCATAATGTCAGGTCCAGCAGAGTCAAGAATGAGTAGAGATAAATAAATTTAAATTTATTAATTTTAGGGCCTGCTCTATTCTAACATGTAAGAAATATTTATTGATGGATAAGTACGGCAGAGATGTAATAACAAGCCGTTTTGTATGAATACCGAAATGGTATTTGAAGAACATATCAAATTATCAAATTGAATTGACAATAAATTTATGTGCCTGTGTTTTATAAACCGTCTGCAGAAAATTGACAAAAGTAATAAAAAGATGACTCATGGTAATGTTTATCCCAAATTATAAATCGATAAGAGTTCTCATTAATAATAGTAATGTGGATATATTTTCCAGAACTTACTTTAACTTTATTTAAAAATTACTTTTTTAATTTCGTACTAGTTTATAGCACTTAACAATATAATCAATCATTTGTCTGTCATCAATGTATCATATACACCTCTATAATTATTTAATACATAATCTTATACTGATTACAATGGTCGACATGTCAACAATAGAATTTGAGCTATTTACTACGATGTAATTAACTGATTATCTGCCATATTAGGTAACTGCGGATGTACATCACTAACGTAATAAAGAAGCAAAAAATAACCAATAAATAAACTAACCAATAGGTCAGTTTTTATTTAATAATACGTGGCTTTGGGTGCCAGTTGTCATGTATATGAGGATTACAGTCAACATGTTCAGTACAATACGATATACTGAGAGAGAAAAGACTATATAATACGAGAGAAGAATGCGAAGTTTATTACCTATTAAGTCGGATCGGTCGACAATAGAATTTGCGCTATTTACTACATTATGTAATTAATTGATTACCTGTCTTATTAAGTAACTGCGGATGTACGTGATTAAGTAATAGCATGTTTTACGGTTAGTTTATTTAATTATACGTACACACGGCTTTGGGTGCCGATTTGCTGGCCTCCATTCGCGAATTTCAAGTTCCAGAGCTTTACGCTCTGGGCTACTCGAGAATGGTTCTGAAACGATAGCCTCGTGCCTCCATATGGCGCGGAACAGTTCTGAACTTTATGACTCAATTGGATGGAGTGAGATTAGCAGAGAGATAGATTATTCAGAGCTGCACAACTGCGTGAATGGAGGACAGTAATTGTCGTGTGTACGAAAAGTACAGTCAATGTGTTCAGTGCAATACGATATAAGAGAGAAGAGTAAGAATTTTCCCAAGCGCATGAAGTAAAACGTCGCATTAAGTGGATATAATAAACTTTGGATTTTTTTCTCTCCGATTTACAACATCGCCATAGCGATTCACTTCTACACATGTAGGTAAATGCCGAGGGGTAAGCTGCTGACAAATTTCTGTACACTAATACCACGTATAATGGAAAAAATGCCAACTAATACCACGATTAATACTACTAATACCAAGTAATGTCAACATCTTGTACACCAAAATACACCAGCGGTTTACCCCTCCCTCCGTAAATGCTGACCCAAGACCAGTGCTGCTTTATCCATTAGGCAAGATAGGCAGCTGCCTAGGGCGGCAGGCTGAATAACAAAATTTACTTGAATTTTATTAGTTGAAAGGGGCGGCAAAATAAATGGTGCCTAGAGTACCAAATCACCTTAACGCGGCCCTGCCCAAGCCTTTCTCTTGTCGATCCGGTATAAATCTATTATCGTAGCCTTAAATAAATTAGAATAAAATAAACTATGTTAAAAACTTTCATGTATACTACTGAAATGAAGATAATATATCAAAGCTAAATGTAATCTACTACAGTTGTAGTAAAATGAGTAACTAATTGTCGAAAATCCAGATCCAACCCTGATGCAACATTTTTTTGAAACGTCTACTTATGCGGTTTGAAATTTTGATGCAAAATCCGGCAATACCGCTCAGAAGAAATGTACCCACCCATACCCGCCCAACTTTTTTCTCTTCTTAATACATTTGATTTGCCATTAATGCTGTCTACATCAGTGTCTTACACGTTAAAATCCAACCCGCAGAGTTGACCTGTCCCGATCGGTATACAAATACACAGATTTAAATAGCGAGTAGGTACATGAAAAATTTGTTATATAAATATTCTAAAAGTGTTGGGAAGTATAGTTTGTAAAAATTCTAAAAATAAAAATAAAACAGTAAATATTTTGATACCTTCGGAAGGCCTAACTTAACGTATTATAATTTATTATTAAACTTAATAATTTTTTTTAGATGAGTTCAACTACGGTCGCTAGCATAGTTTTACGCACAAATTTTGCTAGCGGAGACATAACTGGGCTATTTCGGTTAAAACGACTTTTTTTAAAGGTACATAATAATAATTTTAGAAGATATTCATAAAAATTTTAACCAATAGTTGATTAAAACAAAAGTATACCATTAATATTGCAAATTATAATTTATCCCCTCATAGTATATTTATTTATTTTTTATTTATAATTTTTATATTTTGATTATGTAATGGACACTTTATTTACTAACTTGTTCCGTCGAACTGCTTGAATCCATTTTTGCTTTTAATTAAATCTGTGTGAGAAACTGTGAAGCTATAGAATGGTGTTTCGGGAGAGTTGAATATCCGGGAAAGTTGAGTTATTGAATGTCATTGCACTCAACAACGCCCTAATTACACCCTCCTTCTAACCTAACCTAACCTAACATAACGGGTCGCCCAGTTTGGGTTTCTTTTTCACTTATATTTTACTACCGAAACAGAAACCAAAAAATATTATGACAAAGCCACGATTTTAATATTACTTCAATGCGATCTACATAAACGGTAACGGGCCCTGCGTGAAATACTTTATACGCAGCACTTCTAATTTCTGCCATTCAAGCGCTGCGGTCTGAATTTTTAAAATGAACTGAAATACACCAAGTCTATACGGTAAAACAGATTTTAGTACTGACTTTCCATCTCTTTTCTCCCACCCTGAGTCAGAACCTAGCTATGCCCATAAATAGTTACCCTTACCTGTTCCAATAGTTATAAATCCATTAGACTTATTCTTCAGCACTACCGAAGTTTCCAATACCGCTGTAAAATAACCTTCTAAAGTGGAACACAAAGGTACGTGGTGCATTCTAAAATGGGTTTTATCCCTATCCGAACAACGAATATCACAGACACCCCACAGTGTAAATGAGGACGGTTTTATGGTAAAACCACCCTCGGAAATATAGAGGTTTCTTCTGGATGAGCTGTGGTGCAAATTAAAGAAACTTCTGGGAGATGGACAAGGCTTGCGTGATTTTCTTTCCTAAACGGGCAGAAAATTTGAATAAAATTAGACGCTTTACTAGGGATGTCCAAAAATATCGATATTGAAAAAATATACATACTTACTTTTTTGTGATGTAACTTTGTATCTTCTCCTGCGTTGTCCACCTGTCCGACCTTCATAGAATAGACAGCTACAGAAGCGTTAAAATTCGTGCACAAGTCTGTCAAAACGAACGTCTTATTTGCTTTGACCTCGCCATTTTTGTCGGCTGTTAGAACCTTGCTGGACAGGACCGTTTTACCGCTGTGGATTATCACAACGAAATACTCGATATAGTCTTTCTTGGGACACATTTCTGTGACTGCATCTCCCTTTAGATAGTACACGATGTCTGATATTTCTAAAGTTCCAGAGTATTTGTCAGTATTGTCATTTTTTCCGTAATATTCTACATTGTCTATAGCCAATTGGATTTCTTCCTTAGTACAACCTGAATAATAAAAATTAAAATAAGATTATAGCATGTAAATTTAATAAAATTAAAGAGTTAAACTATAAAAGCCTAAAGTGCATAGACAATGAGCTTCGATCAGCGAACTACCAAAAAGTTCTTATATCATGATTCCGCCAATGTCTAGCTTAGGTCAATAGGTCAATAGGGAAGATGTATACCACGACTTTTTTATTTATCTGAACTGTTTTCAGTATTTTTCATTAACTTTTATTTTATTGATCATTTTATTTTGGCTATCTGAACTAGTGGTGGCAATACCGGTTCCACATGAGTCTTTGAAATACCGCGACAAAATTGTAACGCTCGTGCTAATACCGCGCGAATTTGTAACCGATGTTCCGGCTTCCAAAGTGTTCCAAAGTGTCGCTATTTTCGCGTATGGGGTGTTTCTGATCACTGTACCTACCTACTCCCATCCCTGCCGTTATCTCTGCGTTCGTGCAAATTCATAAATAATAACAATTCATTAACAAATTTTGTAAATAATAAACAACACGCAGATGGCTAGAAGAATTTTGTTATGTTAGCTTTCAATTTTGAAAATAAAACTACTAATATAAAATACTATAATTTATTGATATTCAATACTTATTTACTTATTTACCATCTTTTCTTCAGACTAGCTTTTTATAAGTTTTATATTTTTGCCAATAATATTTAAATTTATATTTTTCTAATACACGTTATAATCGTCAGAATTTATATTAAAATGCATATATTTGTAAGATAATTATATTTTCTCTTAAAATATGTTTACTCTTTCTTATTTTTTCTTAAAATCTGTTTACTTTAGAAATATTTTAGCTTAAACAACAAAAAGTAACATAATTTGAATCATTATTCGAGATACCTACGCCATGTGCTATTTTTGTCTACATGTATGTTTTTATCTACGTATATATTCCTTATTGCTGGAAAAATTAGAAGTAGAATGTTCATGTCAGATAATCAAAATAAAATCAGTCATTCTTCATTCCAGTATGTTACTAAAATGTTATTCTCTTTCTTTGCAGACTATACCTACTCTAATCGAAATTATATTTTTAATTAACTGAAAGTAGCTTTACAAATTTCCTTTTTTTGTGTCATATTTCTTCTTTGCTTTTTCTTATTTTTGTAAAAATGTTTATTTGTAACTGTCTAATGTATGTACCTAACATGTATTTATTATTAATCAAAAATGCCTAGTACCTAGACCTACTGAAAAATCGCGATCTCGAAAGTAACGTAACGACTGTAACGAGAGCGTCAACGCCAATAGCGTCCGACCAAAGCGCGATAGATGAAAACTCGACTCTAGAAGCGCCTCAGCTGTCGCGCGACCACTGGAGCAAAATACATCGCAGTATAGGTCGTTATATACCAGTTACATCTGTTCGCGACACACAAACCCGCGACTCGAGCGCCACGCGACGGCTGGAACGAAACACGTCCGCCGCGGTCGAGGTCGCGCGTCGCTACAGTAGTAACTGGTATTACTACTATTTTAGCGTACATTTAGTTAAAAAGCACAGTCACCAAGGTGATAAAAACGATTCCATCAATAGTCCTTTCTCCAGAGAAAAGCCGTTTCTATTTTTTTTTCATTGCTATAATTTTTCCAAATTTTTGTTAAGTTGTACTTGTATTTGTGATTTAAAGTTAAAATATCTACATATATAAAATGCTAATGTTTATCTGTGTCGTCTCTACTGAAGTAACGACTTGCTCTAGAAAGTTGCTTTTTTTACTAAAAGATAGCTAATTGGCTCTTCTAAAAACTGTCGTCGCCGAATTTTTTGTTTTTCATTTAATTAAAAAAAATAAGAAGTATTTTTTTCCTGATGTATGTCGTGGCGGATGCGCCAGGCTTCAACTAGTAATAAATAATTTACGAAAAATGGTTTAAGTTACTACAAATATAAAATTCCCAAAAAATCATCAGTAATGGTGTCAGCGTTGGCAGCATAACATTGGTTGCGGTATTTAATTACAATATTTGGTGACAGCGGTTTATAACACTGACGGCAGCGATGGGCCCCATCACATTTGAGTAATCACTACTATTGGTGAAACAGATTAATCACAAAAATTAAAAAAGCGTAAAACACAACCGGCAAATGATCGTCGACCTAACTTTATATTTTAATACGTCTACATAATACAAATTAGATCAACATTCATAAACCGGAATTGAAGTCAGCCAATTAAAGTACCCTGGCAAGCGCGCTAATTCAGTGGCGTAGTAATTAAAACATCGCAAGGCACGTCTATGACAATTTTAAACTGTAAAAAATATACTAGAAGATAGAAACAAGGAAACAAAATGTTATTGGTATGTGGATACCATCATTGATGGAACCGAATAACCGCCAGTGAGTATTCTTAAAAAACTGGCGAGTGTTTATAGCTTATATCTAGAATCGGTAAAGAAAAAGACGTTCTCTTGGTTACTTACTAGCTACTAAAAGAATTTTTTCAGCTTCAATACACTCTGGGCTGCCATAGTCTCCAGAGTTCTTGCAAAAACTCAGTGCTTTAGATGCTTGAAAAATAATTCCGTTTTGTACGAACAATTCGCGCATCAGGTTTTCTTCTCCACCAACTGCATCGCCATCTGCTGTGTAAGATTGGCATCTGGGTTTCCCACCTTTTCTAAAAAGATAAATGAAATTATTACATATCTTGCACAAAAACGCTTTTGTACACAGTCATGATACAAAAAAAATTTGGTTAAAAAATAAAAGAATCACGTACTTATTTCTTGCATCTGGATGTTTATCCCTAAACGAACAAGCTCTTCTTATACTTTTCCTCATTGAACTGTATAAGGAACCCGCTTTGGAAAATATGGAGGATACATTTGTAGTATCCATGTTAGCGGAGGTGTTCAGCTTTGTACTGTGAAATCCCCCATCCTAGGAAACATAAATACAAAATTATATCGATTTGTTTTATTATTTTTAAATAACGCCAGTGGCGGCAGGTAGGTTCTGAAGGAGAATGGACCAGTGGCGGATCTAGGCGTGGGCAAGGTGATGGGTACCTGCCCACGACGCCAGGCGCCAGGGGTGCCGTCGAGGCGTCAAAATGTCTTGGGGGGGGGGGGGTCTACACATTTTTTGATTGTGAGGGCACCAAATTTTGTCTTTGCCCACGACGTATTTTACCCTAGATCCGCCACTGAATGGGCACAACCTCCAGAAGAGAAAAACTACATAAAGTTTATTCTAGTTTTCATGCTAGAAATGACGATATTATTCGATATATAAAATAAATCGTAAAAATATCATCATGCACTTAATTATATACTTATTACTTTAATTTTCTTTTGATGTTGGGTGGGCGAATGCCCTTGTGGCCCTCACCACCAGCCGCCACTGAACGACACTATACAGGGTTGTCCAAGTTATACCACATGAAGTATTATAACGATATGATTAGATTTAGAAGTTGTAAGTGATGGGATTATTGGAGGACTACTAAAGCTACCATTTATCATATTAATAAAAATATCCAAGTTGTATTTTTAAAATGGAACACCCTGTATATTATTATATTTTTAGTTTCTACGATTAAAATAATGGTAAGTTTCATTAAGGTATACCGCATTTTAATTTTTCCGTTTCTGAAATATTTACGATTTTGTAAAAATGTAGTAACATTTATTAACATTAATTTAAGAAACATAATTTTAATGCTTAATTTCTCTAGGCGTATTTAAGTTTTCAAACACGTTTATACAGTGTCTAAAAAAATATATACTTCTAAAATAATTACTAGCTTTAAAGGGCAATAACTTCTTTAATTTATATGGAAACCCTGTATAGTTTACGTGCATCAGATGCACAATTTAATTGTCTATCAAATTTTATAACGCCATTTTAAGCCATCTCTTCGGGCTTTCGTAGAAAATGTACACTAATATAATTCAAACTTTATTAATCGGTATTTATCAATATATCCATGGAATCTTGACAATTTGGATTATTTTTAGAGATGTAACAAATTTTCAAATTGTACAAATACTATAATATTGTCGATATAATTCGCTTATTGCTTTAAAAATAGAAAACTATTTAAATATTTGTAAAAGACGAGCCAATTATTCACAATTATACCCAATTAAACCCAACCCAACCTAACTCAAAAATTATCTTCGTTTAGTTGATTAATAATTGCTCCAAATACTGAAAAATATTAAATTTTGTATGTGTATGAAATAGTGTGGTAGTAAAGTTACACCTTCTAAATTTTATTTTATTTTTTGACAAATGGCACAGCTTTTTTGACGAATGCTTATTTATAACAACCAGAGACGTTCACATTCATAATTTATTAATATATTGATTTTTGATTCAAATCCACCTTTATTTAGAATAATTTATTATACAGGGTGTCCCAGAAATAAGTGCAAGTATTTTAACTGGTAGTATAGTTCAACCCCAGAAACATGCTTATGAGGGTTTTTTCGCGAAAAAAAAATGTTGAAAATTCAGAATTTGTTGAAAATTTTTTTTGGAAATTTTTTTAGTTTTTATTTAAGAAACATAATTTCTTGATAATATGGCAACATAGGTAGTAGATTAAATTTACAAGAAAGAAAATCCAGAAAAGATCCAGTGATTCTCAAAAATCATTTTTTTGGAAATTTTCAAAGTAAAATAACTCCGTTATTTTACTTTGAAAATTTTATTATATGTTTCTTTTATCGAGATCTACCACCCCTTAAAATACTTGCACTTATTTCTGGGACACCCTGTATAACCTAACCTAACATAAGTATATTTAGTAAATAATAATACAAGTAATTTATATTCAGTAAAAAAAACTTCAGTGCGCCTTAAATAGTTTTAAAAACTTCTTAGTGTTAAAAATATTCTTAAGGCGAGTTCTCACTGGTCATTTTTATTGACTGATTTAATGAACGTCAGAACACTCGATCACTAAAAATGAATCACAATTTTGCCTCTTCATTAAAAGTGAAAAGGGGGTCACTTTCTGTCATTTTTACTGATCATTTTATTAAAATGAAAACGCAATGAATAATGAGAACATATGTACTATGAAAACCAAGTCATAGAAAATGAATAGGTTTTTAGAGACTAAAACATGGGAGTTGACAGTTTTAAAATGATCATATTTTATGAGACAATATGAACGCAAGGCAGATTCATAAAAAAAGATTCATGAAAACTGATTCACTAAAAGTGACCAGTGAGAACTCGCCTTTAGAGATATGAAGCATTAAAATTGTTACTGCATTTTCACAAAATTCTAAATATTTCAAAAACGGTATGATTAAAATGCGGTAAACCTCAATCAAATTCAGCATTGTTTTAATCGTAAAAACTAAAAATGTAATAATATACAGGGTGTTCGATTTAAAAAATACAACTTTGATATTTTTTATTTATTTGGGACACTCTGTACCTTTTGCAAATACCTCTAAATTGTATCTGAAGTAGTCTCCAATTATCAATTTCTAAAAATTTAATCATTTGACTACAATACTCCGTGTCGAATAGCGTGAACAATTGTACAAATACTAGCGTGAACAACACTGTATATTTTATGAGATATTATACTCGCCCTAAAAATCTAGATCCGCCTCTGGTAACGCTTAAATAAAATTACTTACCAATGATTGTGTCTCAAACGATAAATCACCCAAAGCGTTCTTCAAGAACTTGTTAGGGTCGTAATCCAAATCAGTCGATATGACTGTAGAGTCCAAAAAAGTCTCTTCTACTGAAGTGTCTTTGTTTAGATCGTCGGTCGACTGCAAAAAATCGAACTCGTTGTCCGATCTAGTAGGAAACAGCAAGGAAAAATAACTTCTTCCATCGTACAAGTCCTCTGGAGTGTTTATTGTTCTCAAACTACCAGCAGAATAGTTTGAACTGGCTCCGTCGTCGTCGGTAGAGTCTCTGGATACTCTTCTATGGTAGATTCGATTGATACAGTGTGTTAACTGGTCTTCGTATTTGTCGTTAACCTATTTAAAAGAAACAGTTTTTCATTGGGATGTAAGTGCGGTATATACAAGGTGAGTTTTCTACGTTACAAGGTTGTTTTCAATGGGTACCTCGGAAACAACTGCTGGAACTAGAGAGTCGGTTAAATATATGCGCCTTTCGGACTTTTGAATAAGTATGGCTCACTAGATATTTTGAAAAAAAAAATCGGCTATTTTAGAAATGCTTCATAATTTCATTATAGTCTATTTTAGACTGCTCTCCGTTTTTTTTAAAGTCTGGCATTTTTGACATGTGACACAAATATATGTTTTTTTAAACGGAAGCCAGAGTTAGCTGTGGCTTAATAAAAAGCGTAATTTTTAGAGATTTCCGGCGATATAAGCTATATGTTTTTTTTTTCGAAAAATTACTGAGTTATAGCCAATTCTTATCTTTTTTGACTAATTTTACTTAATTGACATGGCATTCTTAATCTATAACTATGATTTAAAGATTATAAAAACAGAATATTTTATTAAACGGATCTTTTCAATTTACATTAAACAAATTAAAACTTTATAAACTGATATCACTACGTAAACTTTAAGTTATTTTAGCAAATGTTCATTTTAATATCATAACCGTGAAGAAATGCAAGAAGGCGACGAAGACCGCAGTAGTGCCTACACTGTATTTTTTAAATAAGAAAAGTATATACTTTTGCTGCCATTAGTATACTTAAACTATTTCCCTCAAGACCATTTCTTATCATATTGTCAAGGTGTATGTGGCGCCATCTGTCGGAGAAGCGAGCAACTAAAACCGCAACGTGTCCAAAAACCTGAAGACAATATTTTGTTGTAGCGCCATCTCTTAATCAAGTCGACAAGTAAGCGAAGCAGACAATAGAATGTACTAGTAGATGGCGGACCCGTCCCGATAATTTTAGATTGTTCGCGAAACACTCACCACAGCTATATAAAAGGAGCGCTTACGACAGTTGAAGAAGTTTAAAAGTTTTTGAAATTTGAATATACCGCGTGGAAATTGAAAATCGGACAATTTGGTGAAGGAATCTTATAAATAGTTAGTTTGTTGTGTGTTATAAGTTAGTAATTGTGTATAAAGTGAGAAAATAAATTCGTTAAGTATTTTATCGTGAGTTTAAATTAGTGGACCCACGGAATCCGTAACAATTGGTGTCGGAAGTGCGATTCAAGAGGATTTTAAGAAGAAATTAAGTGGATTGGAAGATTTTTAGACCCAATTAGAGTATTTTTTATGGTTGGTACAAGAGAACAAGCGAAGAAAATGGAGGAAGTAAGCAAGTTATTGGGCGATTTTATGGAGAATATGAGAACAGAGAAGGCAGAAGAACAAGAAAGACTCCGTAAAGAACGAGAAGAGGAACGAGCCCGATTAGTGAGAGAAAAGGAAGAGGAAAAATTACGACGTCAAGAAGAACAGGACCGGCTTGAGAAAATGTTAGGTAATTTGGAAATTCATTTCGAGGAGCGACATCGTAGAGAAAAACAAGAAGAACAGGACCGGCTTGAGAAAATTTTCGAAGATTTGAAAATTCAGCGACAACAAGACAAACAAGAAGAGCAGGACCGTATTCAACAGAGTATCGAAAATTCGGAACGAAGACAAGAGACCCACTTCCAAGAAGTCGTAGAAGATCTGGAGGAGCGCCTTCAGCAGAAAATGGAAAAATTAGAGATGGACCTACAGAAGACCAAGGTACAAGTAAGGACACCTGGCGTTTCTGGAACTGCGAACCTCAAGGCACCGACCTACGATGGACAAACCACCTGGACGATGTACCACCGCCAGTTTGAAGCAGCGGCTGCTGCCAATGGATGGACTGACCAGAGAAAGCAGCAGCACTTGTCATCGCGCTGCGAGGCCCCTGCCCTGGAACTGTTGCAAACTATTCCTGCAGCCCAACAGCAGGAATACCAAACTTTGGTCGCTGCACTGGACAGAAGATATGGCGACCAACATCGACGCCAACTTTACCAGGCACAGATCAAGACACGCCTGCAGAGGTCCGGAGAGAGTCTGCAGGAATTCGAAGCAGACTTACGTCGGCTGGTACACCTAGCGTATCCTGAAGCACCGGAAGGATTTAGGGAGGAACTCGCTGCTCAGTGCTTTATCAGCGGACTGAGGGACAACGAATTACAGAGGGCGCTGCAAATATCGCGATTTTCTACCAGCAGCGAAGTACTCGTCAGGGCGCTGGAAATAGAAGCTGCATTTAGCGCCATTCCTAAACCGAAGATAGGCTCGGTAACGGTTGAGGAACAGCCAAAGAGTTCTCACATACGTTTGGAGGAGATGTTTAATAAACTATGTGAATTACTAGTGAACAAGAGAGTCAACAACACCCAGACAGAGAACCAAAGAAGATTCCAGGATATGAGGTGCTATAGATGTGGCAGGAATGGCCACATCAAACGGGATTGTCGCATCCAAATGCGATTCCATTCACCATCCAGAGAACATCGGCACATCGGAAGATCCCAGGACATAAGTTGCTATAGATGTGGCAGGAATGGCCACATCAAACGGGATTGCCGCGTCCAAATGCGATTCCGTTTACCATCGAGAGAACATAGGCACCAGGAAATCAACACTAATGAGCGAGTATTGGCTGAAGAAAACAGAGCCCCTAGGATGTTTTCCGTTAGGAGTCTAGGAAAAACCGCTGACAGTTTGGTGATCAACGGAAGGTCAATGGTAGAAGAATTCGAATGACTGTGGACACAGGCGCTATGGTATCGTTGGTGCGGACTAACTCGGTGCAAGGATTGAAGATGATGCCTCTTAGAAGAAGAGTGTATTTACGTACAGTTACGGGGGAAATGGCCGTTGTACGGGGAGAGGCTTTCATAGAACTGGAGTTAGGGAATTTGAAGTTTCGGCATAGCGTTTTAGTGGCAGACATTGAAGATGATTTTATCATGGGGATGGATGTGATCAGTCAACATGGTTTTTCGTTTGATCACCATAGAAACATCCTGAAAATCGGAAATGAGGAATTTTCTGTATCTAAAGAGAAGAGACCAGGAAATATGGGAGAAAGATCATCGAAAATTGTGATGATACCTGGTGATACCAAGAAGACTGTGTTCGAGAAAATAGAGGAAACCTCTGGGTGCCGTGTAGGATGGGTACAAATTATCGACAACGAACCGGATCGACGACGAGCTACCTTGGGCAAGAAAATGCAACATCGCGAAAGCACTATCAGAGTAAAGAATTTTAAAGTGAGAACTGACGAACAATGGACGACGATACAATTGAGGAAAGATCAAATGGAAGATCCAGACATCGGAGCAATACTACGGCTCAAGGAAGGTAACGGCGAGAGACCACCGTGGCAGGATATTGCGGACAGAGGGCTCGTTTTCAAAGCTCTCTGGGCTCAGTGGAATTCACTGGTGATTGAGAATGGATTGTTAAAGCGCACGTGGGAAAGTGCGGATGGCAGGACAGTAACAACTCAGTTACTGGTACCAAGGAAGAAAGTTATCCAGGTATTGGAAGAAATTCATGGTGGTAAAACTGGAGCCCATCTTGGGGTAAACAAGACCCTGAGCAAGCTGAGAGACCGTTTTTACTGGGTGGATTATTGTGAAGATGTTAAGAAATGGTGTCAACGTTGTAAGATTTGCGCAGCTAGACAAGGACCAAGTACTCGATCTGGAGGAAAATGGAACAAGATAACGTTGGACGGTCGTTCGAAAGAGTCGTTAGGAAGGAAAGATTATTGGGAATTCATAAGGCCGTGAGAAGTAAGATTACGCTAGCCAGTGACCGGATGAAAGCTCGTTACGACCTCAGAGCTAATTCTACGGGATTTCAACAGGACGATAGAGTATGGTTGTATAATCCACAGCGCAAGAAAGGAAGGTCCCCAAAGTTAACTCCAGCATGGGAAGGTCCTTATACAGTCATCAAGAGGATAAATGATGTAGTGTACCGGATTCAACGCAGCCCTAGAAGTAAGATGAAAGTAGTTCATCTGGATCGATTGAAGAGATACCAGACAGGAAACCTTGATCGGGACGATCAAATTTGAGAAGGGGGCAATGTCAAGGTGTATGTGGCGCCATCTGTCGGAGAAGCGAGCAACTAAAACCGCAACGTGTCCAAAAACCTGAAGACAATATTTTGTTGTAGCGCCATCTCTTAATCAAGTCGACAAGTAAGCGAAGCAGACAATAGAATGTACTAGTAGATGGCGGACCCGTCCCGATAATTTTAGATTGTTCGCGAAACACTCACCACAGCTATATAAAAGGAGCGCTTACGACAGTTGAAGAAGTTTAAAAGTTTTTGAAATTTGAATATACCGCGTGGAAATTGAAAATCGGACAATTTGGTGAAGGAATCTTATAAATAGTTAGTTTGTTGTGTGTTATAAGTTAGTAATTGTGTATAAAGTGAGAAAATAAATTCGTTAAGTATTTTATCGTGAGTTTAAATTAGTGGACCCACGGAATCCGTAACAATATTATTATAACGTACAATAATTGTAAATAATAATTTTTATTAAATGATATGTTTAGAATATAAAGGTCTTTATTTCAAAAATATTTGCTAAATTTTGTGGTACATTAGTTAAACTAAAATAGGTTTAAAAGGAAACACGTTAATGTTTAATACAACCTAACCTTTAAAAAATACCGTATGATCGAAAAAAAAAACGCGTCAAAGACGGCTGAGGAATTACAGTGTCAACAACATTGTCACAAATGAATGAATGTCAACAACACTTGTCAAAAATTAATACTAATTAGAAGATTAAAAAGAACCAGACAGTTTTCAGCCATAAATCTATTTCTAAAAAATATTTTTTCTCGAATTTTAAACTACACCATATAAAAATAAGTTTTACTCAAATAAAAAAATACAACCTTCTTAAGGACAACTGGCAGTAAGCGTCATTAAATAAAGAAGGGTACAGGCCAAAAAAAATGGTGTCCATGGCTTGACCTGGCAAAAATTCATCGATGGTCATTACCCAGCCCTCTTTGACGCTGTTTTTTTTTTCGATCATACGGTACAAATTGAGATTGTAGTGGCGGATCTAGGCGTGGGCAAGGTGGGCACCAGGCGCCAAAATGTGTCCTAAATCAATAGATAAAAACTCTAATCACGCACCGCATGCACACATAAGGTATGTTAGTAGTTTCTGCAAACATTACACCCTATAATCAAGGATTATACCTACAAGTAAAATTTCGGCACACGGGCGGCAAAATATTAGTATGTCCGAAACCAGTAGTAAAAACTCTATCACCATGCAAACATCATAATGGGGGGGTGCCTACACATTTTTTGAATTGTGGGGGCGCCAAATTTTGTCTTTGCTCACGACGTATTTTACCCTAGATCCGCCACTGGAGATTGAGAACATTACAGGTTGCCAACTTTAGGTATGTTGGCATTTCCCTGATTTTGCATTTTTATTGTTACCTGTCCTATTTTAATTTAAACAAACATGAACAGCTGTAGTTTTTTCATTAAATTAGGCAAGTAAATTCACTATTCAGCATACGCAGACCAGTAAAAAATATGTATGATTTAGCTGTGAAAATCAACGCAGCCAATATTTGGACAGTTAGTCAAACGTACAGCCTCGCCACAAAAAGTATCATTTTTACTCTTTTACTCCTAATAAAACAATATACTATTTATGGCTAGATAGTGAAAAAGAGAAAAATCCATGACAATTTACTCAAAAAACGGAACTGATTAACAAAATGTGTGACGGTTTTCCTTAAAGCGGAAGCCTGCCTTGTAACTTCTTGTAAGGATGTGTAAAGACATCTATGTTTTTAAACCTGTATTGATATTTTCACCTTAAAAAAAAGTAATCTTAAAAATATAAATATATCGTCGCCTTCCACACAAAGCACAAAGTGTCGTACCTAACGATGTAACATTTTGAAAATTTTACATTAGAGCGAAAAAAACGTCTTTTAGTGTGATTTAACAGTTCCCACAGTGTCATAACTGTAGCTGCAAATGTTCTTGTGCTGTAACAGACAAAATAAATTACGTATCTAGTAAAAGTTAATTCTTAGATCACACTAAAAGGCGTTTTTTTCGATCTACTGTAAAAATTTTCACAATGTTAGTTATGGCATGGCACTTTGTGTGGAAACAGGCCACGATATGTTCAAAAAATATTTATAAAATAATAATGTCACGACTACGGTTTCAATTTTCGGGATCGGGATCCCGTTTTGAAATCCCAGGGTTAGAACCTATAATCCCGGGAACCCGGGATTGACTGTTAGAGAGAACTATTAGGAGAAATTTAATCTAAAGAAATACTTAATAAAAATGCAGCACATACCGGGTGAGTCTCAAAAGTGGCTCACCCCTACACTTTTTTATTTTTTCATATAAAAAATCGAGATTTGGTATATTAATATATGACATAAATTAGGATTGATTGACGTATTCAATTGTTTTCTGTCACTTCCTGTTTCACCGGAAATGACTACAACTTTTGATTTTTAAATGGTACCCTCGGTGTTTTGTTGCTTTATTCGATAGATAACACTCTGAATAGAATGACATATCATATGTCAAGTTTTGACATTTTCCAATATGGTGTATTTGAAATTGCAACATGCGATTCATAACGACAATATGACTGAAAACACCAAGTGTGTGGTACCAAATTATTCGTAAAAAAGCTTCTTCGAAATATCCTAATGAGCCACCCTCGTTCCATTTGAAAACGTTGCGATATGATTAAAATTACAATTTGGGCATCTTTTAACCGGCCAGGATAAGACACTCCGAATAACATTAGACGATCAAATCTATTTTTCCAATGCTCCATGATTAAAAATGTGTTTTTAACCTTTGGTTTTTAACACAGCCATGGCACTCTAGATTGAAATTTAAAGTTCAATTTTGTTTTAAGCAAAAATGTTAAAAGTTATTGACATATGATAATATGTCATTCTATTCAGAATGTTATTTTCTATCGAACAAAGTAAAAAAAAATACCGAGAGTGCTATTTAAAAATCAAAAGTTGTAGTCATTTTCGGTGAAACAGGAAATGGCCGAAAAGAATTGAATACGTCAATAATTCCTAATTTATGTCATATACTAACATACCAAATCTCGTTTTTTATCTTATAAAATAAAAAAGTTATAGGGATAAGCCACTTTTGAGACGCACCCGGTATATCAAAAAGAAAATGTGTAAAGAGCTTTGTTAAAATAGACAAATCAAAGTAACATTTATATTTAGTAAGTAAAAAAATACAATCCTTGTTGCAAAAAAAATAAAATATAGCGAACACGGAAATATAACTTTTAGATATTGACGTTCGCTGCTTAATATATAAAATATGATCTTGAAAGACTAAAGTGTATAAGTCCAATCATTTTATTTGAGTATTTAAATTTTTCGAGATTTTCGGGATCCCCGGATTTAATATCGGGATTTCGGTGATAAACATACACCGGGATACCGGAATCCTTGTTTGGAAACCCTATTCGCGACTCACAAAAGTAGATCTACCTACATGGATATCGATGACATGCTTCTACACATTCTCTACGAAAATTAGCAAAATTTGTAATAATCTGACAGGATTATTTAGATTAAATAACTAAAAACTATGTTAAAATACCAATGACTAAAGAATATAAGGACATGTAACGCCCATATACGGGCTGCAGCAGAATCTGTGACCTTAGACGTCTTTTCTTTTGGTGGCAAACAATGAGTCATCAGCTGGCCACCAGCGACAATTTTAGCAATTTTTAATAGTTTGTGTGTAGTGAACTTTGTATAAACTTTATTTACAATGCTGATTAGTTGTTCAGCTTTCAAATACAAAAGCAGCAGTAACAAGAAAGAGCCAGAGGAGTTACGTTTCATAGGTAAATAAACAATCCGCTCCACCTTTTTAGCGTTTTCTTAAATTTTCTTATTGAATTGGAAAATTATTTTTCTGATATTATATATGTACTTGATGTGTGCTATATGTCGATACTAGTTTTGTACCTTTTGTTAACATTTTAATACGTTTTTTTCGTAATTAATTAGTATGATGCCATCGCCTACACCATAGGTGTAGTCAAAACATTTATCAAAAATATAAATATCCCTTCACCTAGCTATGTTAAGAAAAAAATATGGCCACGGCACTGTTGGTGCCATGGTAACAATTTGCTCTCGGGTGTTATTTGTCCTTGAATTCTTTAGTCATTGTAAAATACAGTATCAAGTACAAGCATGCATTACGTTTACCAGCTGATGAATCAGGTTTGACTGGCTACGCTGTTGATCTCTCAGGAGCGCCCTTTTTCCCATCACAATTTTCGGTCTCCTGGTTTTTCCAGCTGTCGGTGACAATGGCGCACTGCATATTGAATCTTTAGATCCCGTAGTAATATTATCCAGTTTTTCGGACTCTTCGGACTTCGGAAAGGATTCGGCAACATCGTTCTCTTCATCTTTCCCATCATTATTATTATTATTACCATTTTCTAAAAATGTCACGAATATTTTTGTTATACACTTCTAAACTATGTATATATGGATGTTGTTACCTGTTACAGGATTATTATTTTCATTGTGTTCTGATATAGATCTGGATGTGGTAGCTATTAAAGATGAATTAGATTTTACCTGGGACATTCTTACTGAAGGTACTGCAGAAATAAGATAAGATATAAATTAATAACATTTTTCAAACATTTAAAATGAAAGATAATCAAATCACTTACAGGCTACATCGGGAATATCCTGAATTTTATACAAAATATCCTTTACTAATAATTTAATTTGATCCATATTTGCACGTTAAACATTAAAACATCAACATGGCATACTATAAATCACGTTTAAACTAAATTTAACTCGCATAAAAAAAACAATTGAAAGATCTATGCTAGTATGACAGAAAAAAAGTGAAAATAAACAGTTTTTATTGAATGTTGATATTTAAATATTCTTTTTTATAAATGATGAAAATATTAAATTTTCAACAAAGTAATAATATATAATGCTGCGAAATACTTACCCTTTGTTATTTACTTTTCAAATTTTTCAACTTTGCACTAAATACTTTCAGCATTCTTCGCTGATAATCGCCAAAAAATATTTTTGAAAATTCCCAATAGCAAGTATTCCTAGTTACTCATTAACGGGCAAACAGATAAACTAAAAGTTATCTTTATTAAACAAAAGTTATTCTCCAACCGATCTTATGCCAATAAATAAACGCAAATAACAGTATTTACCAATAGATATCCATCAATTAACATGTTAGATTGGTAGATGAAGAAAAAAATTAGTTTTTAACGCAAATAAGTTCGCTCTTTTATACAGTTACGTAGAAGCGATTGTTGTCAACTTTGCCCACAAAGTTTATCCTCAAACCCTTTTATCAAATCTACTGCAAATATTCCCATTAAAACCTGGTCGAATTTTCTAATAAAAAAGTTATCTCAGGTTTAACTAATCTTGGAAAAAGAAAGGTGTGCATGAGTAAATACGAGATCAATTAAAATCATCCACTTTGATATGTTTGGTTGCATAAATTTAAGAACTTTTGCCCAAAAATTATCCAAAAATATTCAAATATATCTATTTCATTTTAACACAATGGAACGCTTTCCTTTTTCATCCTTTTCTATTTGACAAATCAAATGACAATGACAATTATCAATTTGTTATTGTTGTGATGTTTGTGTTCTTTTTATAATATTTTTCCGTTATTGTTAAATTATTACATTTTGACCATGTCATTAGATCATAAGTCACTTAGTAAGTATTAACATTTAATGTAACGACTAACACATCTTTAACTCAATGACAACGTTTATTTTACTATAGAAAACAAATCTCCATCTAAAACTGGAGAACAAGACACTAACCAGGCATCCAGCACTGATGAAGAAGATGGATCTTCAGTCTTCAGTTTTGTTTCTAGGCTTCAGAAAGATTTAGAACATAAATTGGGGCTTGGAAGCGACGAAAATCTGTCCAAGGTAATAATGCATAACCTCAAATATAATGTAATGACCTTTAACCGTAAATAAACTTTGGAAATAACTGCGTGATGCTATTATACCGAACATCTAAAACTTTAAACATATTTAAAAAGACAATATTTGCTCGGTTATTGAGCGATTTAAGGGGTTTTCAGGTTTTAGATGAAGTGAGTTTGGATGGTTTTGTAAACTACATCAAGAATCAGAACTGTAAAAATATTATAACATTGGCTGGAGCAGGAATCTCAACTTGTAAGCTTCTGTATTATACAGCATAATAATTATTAATTTTTATAATTTATTTTAGCTGCCGGAATCCCTGATTTTCGGTCACCAGGTACAGGACTATATGATAATCTACAAAAATACAACTTGCCCCATCCACAAGCAATTTTTGAGTTAGACTTCTTTAATGAGAATCCAAAGCCATTTTTCGTGCTGGCCAAAGAGCTATACCCAGGCTCTTTTAAGCCAACTTTAAGCCATTACTTTATAAGAATGTTACATGAAAAAGGCCTTCTTTTAAGACATTATACCCAGAATATTGATACTCTGGAAAGAGTTGCTGGAATTCCAGATGAAAAACTAGTTGAGGCGCACGGTTCTTTTTATACAGGCCATTGTTTACATTGCAGGGCTGAATATGAACTTAACTGGATGAAAGGTAGAGTAGAATAAGTTTTATTCTGTACTTTTTTGGTTTACGTATATATTTTTTAGATCGTATATTTAAGGATGAAATTCCAACTTGTGAAAAATGTCCTGGTGTTGTTAAACCTGACATAGTTTTTTTTGGGGAAAATTTACCAGATAAATTTTCAAATGCTATTGAAGAAGATTTTTCACAGTGTGATTTATTAATTATTTTAGGATCTTCTTTAGTTGTGCACCCTTTTGCTTCATTAGTAGACATGTGAATATAATTTATTTTATTTAGCATCTTTTGATAATTTTATTTTTAGGGCCCCATCACATGTTCCAAGGTTGTTGATCAACCGTGAAAAAGCAGGTCATCGTACAGGTATTATGGCCATGCTAGGTATCAGTGGTGGTTTAGAATTTGATAAGAAAGGCAATACAAGAGATGTAGCATGGCTGGGAGATTGTGATGAAGGATGTTTGTTGTTGGCTGAAAAATTGGGCTGGGGGGTAAGTAGAAATAAACACTTAATGTTAATTCTTGGCTATATAGACTTCTGTTTAGAGCGAATTAAAAGATTTACATAAGAAAGAGCATCAGGAGATTGATAAAAAAGAAGGCAAAACTACAAAAGTATCTTCTGATACTAAATCAGAAGATAGTAAGTAAATTTGATTATGTTGACGTACCAAGTGGTTTTTGTTATAATAGAATACATCTCTTATTTTAATAGATATTTTGTAGATTTTCATGGTAGCAAACACACTTAGAAACGTTTAAAAATGTACAGAATGTTATTAAAAAATAAAAACTAATAATAATGTAAAAATAATGTACAAGACTATTTCTTGTATAATTAAAGTTGTTTCAATGTTTGCTATTCTGAATAATTTAATGAAACACTTGGTATATTATTTTGTATTATGAAAATATATATTTTTATTGATAAGTTATTATTTTAAATTAACCTATAACTGATGTTATGAGATATTTATTTATGTTTAGTAAGGTAAGATTTTACTTTTATTATAATTTTTATTTATATAGATTTAAAAAAATAATTGTTAGGACTGTTGTTATTGCGTTAATGCTATTAAAACAGAAATTTTGCAATTATCATTCAGAATTTATTTACATAATTAACATACGTTATTTTCTATCACAAAAGAACAGAAAAATAAGTAAATATAGATAAGTTCTAAAATAATCACAATAAGCATATTATTTTAATTAATTTTATTCTAGTGTATTATTTAGGTTCTCTTTCAGAGTCTTTTTTATCTCGCACTCTCATTTTTTATTTTTTTTTAGTTTCTGTTAGGTCTTATCTATTTTTACTTATTTTTTTGAACATGGGACTATTTTTATTGCTGAAACTTAGTAAATCACAAAGGTTTTTATTAAAAAAATCCTTAGTTCAATAAAACTCATAGCTATCTTATCAGGAATCGCGTTGATATCAAAACCTTTTAATAACTTATCGTGCTATTTGTTGTTAATTGAACTAATGTAGTGAAAGTAATTTTTTGCGTTGGAAAGATGGGCAGTTCACAAAGCAGATTTTCAGAATTAACAGAAGATATTCTAGATGAGTATATAATGTTGACTTATCTAAGTAAATCTGAGATTCTTCAGTAAGTAAACCATGGAATTATAACAGTATATAATATAATTTATTTTGCCCTTTATAATAATTATAATATTATTTATATTATTTCATATTGTGCCTATTTAATATTTCAATGTTATTAAACTCAAAAACGAATTTTCATATAATTTTTTTGATCTCCCTTTTACTCACTATTAGAATGATTTCCCAAACCCAAAAGTTGTGAAAACACTGTATATAAAACTAATAAATAATGTTTTAGTTTGTATAAAACCTTTGGACAGCTTGAAGCCCAGGGACAACTTCGCGACTTGAATTTTAGGTTTCCCCCTCAGGCCATAGAAACCATCTTTCCCCAAATAAAGGTTTGTACAGATAATACAGAGTGATCAAATAATAATATCGGCGTTCTGAAAGAACATGATGTAACTTTAAAATGGTTAATTTTCCTGGAGGTACAAAACTAAATTGTAAAATTAAAAATGACTGTGATAACTGAAAATAAAGTGGAATTATTATTAACAAAACATGACTATTTCCGTAATAATTGAACTTTACTGTATTTTTAATTTTAAAATCGCCTCTTCCGTATAATCTATCTGTGGTATAATTAACCATTTATTATGACGTATTAACAGTTGCATCGTTTTTTCCAGAGCGATAATATGACGTCGTTTTTATTCAATCGCACAGTATACCGGGTGCGTCTCAAAAGTGGCTTACTCCTATAACTTTTTTGTTTTTTTTTTCAGATAAAAGAACGAGATTTGGTATGTTAGTATATGACATAAATTAGGATTGATTGATGTATTCAATTGTTTTTGGTCACGACTTTTGGAAATGACTACAACTTTTGATTTTTAAATGGTACCCTCGGTATTTGTTTTACTTGATTCTATAGAAAATGCCACTCTGAATCGAATGACATATTATCATATGTCAACTTTTAACATATTCGCTCAAAAACAAATTGTATTTTAAATTTCAATCTAGAGTGCCATGGCTGTGTTAAAAACATTAATTTTTAATCAAGGAGTCTTGGAAAAATAGATTTGATTGTCTAATGTTTTAGTGTCTTGTCCTATGGCTGGACAATGATGCCCAAATCGTATTTTTAATCATATCTCAATGTTTTCAAATGGAACGAGGGTGACTCATTAGCATATTTGGAAAAAGCATTTTTTTACGAATAATTTGGTACCACACACTTGGTATTTCCAGTCAAATTGTCATTATGAACCGCATGTAACAATTACAAATAATCCATATGCGAAAATGTCAAAAGTTGACATATGATATATCGTTCGATTTAGAGTGTCATTTTCTATCGAATAAAGTAAAAAAATACCGAGGGTGCCATTTTACAAATCAAAAGTTGTAGTAATTTCCGGTGTTTCGGTTCCGTGTTTTCGGTTAGGTTGGTTAGGTTTCCGGTTTCACCGGAAGTAACCGAAAACAATTGAATATGTCAATCAATCCTAATTTATGTCGTATACTAACATACTAAATCTAAATTTTTGATCTGAAAAAAGAAAAAAGATATAGGGGTGAAGCACTTTTGAGACGCACCTGGTATAGAATTTAATAAAAGTGCAAACGTTGATGAAGTTTTTTTTAGTATAATCCATTTAGAGATCGAATATACTCAGTATTTTCTTCGCAAAAAGATGGCAGGATGTCATTCGAAGATGTGTTAGATTTGTGTTCTGCAATGTCTGAAAAATGTCCTGACCGTGTCAAGGCAGAGTGGGCGTTTCAGATCTACGGTAAACTGAAATGTACACCAACAACAAGGAAGTGTATTGTAATCCCTGTTTATTTGTAGACTTTGACGAGGATGGCTATGTTGGAGAGCAAGATATTTCTTGTGTTATCGATCGTCTGACAGGAGATTGTGGGTATTTGACAGAAGCGGAACACGATCAAATTATTAAAACTGTAAGTAATGTAGCAAAATATCACAAGTCTGTTTTTTGTGTAGTTTGATAGTTTGATCAAAACCAAAATCGATTTTTGTTAAACCGTATAACTCTCGAAAAATGGTCAGATGGCTTACGCGTGATGTCATCAACTTTAGTTGATGACATCACGCGTAAGGGATGGGAGCAGGAGTGGGAGAGTGGGAGGGGTTTAATCACGGCGGCCTTAAAGATCTATTGTGTTTCCCTTTCTTAAGTTATAACCTATCATGCAGTCTACAGTATGTCCCCGGATTGTCTTTACAAGAGGAAAAAAAACTTTTTTAATATTGACGTTTTGAGAAAAATGCATTCTTTATAAAAAATTTTGCTTGTTCTATATAAAATACTTAATCCCTTTTTTACTCTTCTAAATTACTATTCCGTTTTAGAGAAAATAAAAGAAAACATGAAAATATAGTTGAATTTTTTTCTAATTTTGTCCTAATTGAAGTCCTAAAAATCAAAACGTGTTTCTGTAGTAATATAATTTCGTTTTCATTTTTTGATAGATTGTTATTTATTGATGTTTAATTTTAATTAACGTAATATATTTTGCTCTTTAAAAATGTTAAAGAAGCACAACATTTATTTAGTTCAATGCTACGGAAAGGGTGATGATAGTTATCGGAAGATGTAGTACTTTAATAATGGAAAGGAATATGACGTTAATGAAAACCATCTATCAGAAAAATAAATCTAAGTGATATTACCATAGATAGATACGACTTTTAATTTTTAGGACTTCAACCGTATTTAATGTTTTTCTTCCCTCGCTATCTAATAGTTGATATTAATAATATACCGTACGATCGAAAAAAAAGAATGTTCGCTTGGAAATGACGATCAATGACTGATTTTTTAACAAATGGTCACGATATGACTTCAGATATATTGTTTTAAGCCGCTTGACGTTTAAGTCATAGGCTACTGGATAAAATAAAAAAAACACTTTAAACTAAATTTTAAATATCTTAAAAACGATACATTTTAGTTATAGGCACATGTATACTCAAAAAGTAACGAGTTGAAAAACATTTTCACTAGTGAAATAAAAAAAAATGGGTTTCCATTTGCGAAATTAGAAGGGTCCAGGGGAAAACATTATAAGCGCCATTTCACTGATTTTACAGGAGAGCCCTGGACGGCTGGTAGGTATCAGGTTCTGGCCGTATATTCTTTGTTTTTATTAGGTATATATCATACCGTCGGTGAAATGTGATAAACTGCTAACTCCATTATTCCTAATTTTACAGGAGAGCAAAAAAACGGTACAAAAAAATATGTACACATGTAGGAAGTATGTTCATGCGTTAATATGATAAAGAGATAAGAATTGTATTTCCTGGGGAACAATAAAAATCAATATTTCGTGTTACTTCATTTTTTTCAGACACAATAGGGAGATTGCAGATATTCATCTTGCATAAATAACATAAAAATAAAAATATAATAGAATAAGAAATAAAAATGTGGAATAGAAATGAATTTTTTGTACAAGTAAGTAATATTATTACTAACAATATTAAAATAAACAATATTATTTAAAATATTTATAGCACGCCTATGAATTGCTCGTGTAGAAATAACTGTGTTTCTCCCTTACCCTTTACGGATACCCTGTATTTACAGAATGGATCGACGCAGGGTCGGACTGGCTATATAGTCAGGTTGGCGATTGCCAGCCGAGCCCCAGCCTTCGCGGACTCCCCTAGTAGTTCATTATTTATCCTTAAATAGAAATGAAACAGAAAAAAGCGACGGTAATATTCTGACGAGGTTATCCCCAAAACGTTTTTTTTTTAATTAACAATATTTGCATTGCAATTTGGGTGCATTGCATTTTGGTTTACTTTGCATTACGGGTAGTTTCCTGATTTCTATATATAATAGAGAAAGACTGACCAAAACGTAAGAAGAGAAAATACGCAAAAAAAATCCACCAGGGGCGCTATTCTGTATAATCGTCGGTATCGGTAAGTTACCGACAGTAACTTAATTAAAATAACATTAAATAATACTTAATTAAAATAACATTTTTTTTAATTATAAAGAATTTAGCTGCTTTCCATATTTATAGAGTATTTTTTTCTCTTTCTAACGGTATAAACAAACTTATTCGCATAAAAAATGGAGTTAGCAGGTTATCACGTTTCACTGACGATACGATTTAACAACTTACTGCCCTGCAGAGTTTATACATTTTGTAGGGAGCAGTTAGACCTACTATAATATTGTAAAATCCTAAAATGAAGAAATTGGCGCTTATCAAGTTTTTCTCCTGAACCCTTCATTTATTTATCATAATGTTTTAATCGCTCAATTCCATGACAGCTACGGCTAATATTATATGACATTTGATCAATTTAATCTTTGAAATAGTCACATGTTTTTTTTTTCATGTCACAGTAGCTGTGGAAATCACTAAATTTGACGTTTAGGCTATACACATTTTTTTGACAGGCAGTTCTTTGCCTCCAAAAATTAAAAAAAATCTTAAAAAACGGTTAATGTTAGGTATAGAGTGTTTAATATCAAAATTCATAAAAATTTACATAGAATTTAATGTAATAAAAAATGGAGGGGTACCCATTTATATAAGAAAGTTGCTGTCAACTTCCGGTATTTCCGAAAGTGACGCCATATTGAAAGTATTTTTAATCGATAGATCTCGTTGTGAAACAGTGATGTGCAAAAAATCTCCGATCTAGATATTGTAGTTCTCTAGAAACTTCTAATGCATGCTCAGCCTGGGACACCCTGTATATTAACACTGTTTCAACTGTTTTTAAAGTCTGTCCGTCTGTCTACCGAGTCAAGGAAGAATATCATCAGACGACGGACGTTCAAATAATGATAGACAATTCAATTTAGATACATGTAAATTAAAATGACATAATACCTCCTTAGACAAACTCTAGATAGACGCAACTTTTTTATAAGTGCACAATGATGGATATAAACTGAAACTGTATTTATGTGTGTTTCAGCTGATGAACGAGATGGATTTAGAGTCTTCTGGAAAAATTTCAGTGCAATCGTTCAGCCATGCTGTCGGAAAGATGTCTGAATTTCCTCACTCGTTTAATTTCCGTTTTTAGGTCAAAAAAACAAAGATATAATTATCGATTAAGGTTAATAACACTTAATCACCCATAAGTATGAAAATTTACAATAAGAGACTTTATTGCATTTTTATTTTATTTGTTTTTATAAAAGGGAGAAAGACAAGGTGAAAATTTAAATATACGCCATAAACAAATGACTTATAATTGATATACGTAAAACATCATAAGGATTATTATGTTCATAATTAAATAAAAGCATAGTAAATGAACGTATATGTATAATAAATTAGACTTAGTTTTTATAACTTTATTGTAATTTTTTTATTGTATTTTATGTCGTGAATTATAAAAAAATATATATAATAAACAATAATCACAACAATAATGTACCGCATTTTGATTTTTAAGCTATTCAGGCTTTTGATTTTGCTGTTCAGCAACGTCCTACATAGCTGGTTCTTTCATACACCCCTGTCAGTGCCCTCCCTGGCAAAGGTGGCAATCTTTTAGTTCTTCCATAAGAGAGGGGAAACACCAAAGGATCTTTGTATTTCGTATAATATACAGGGTACTTCATGTATACGCTGTAATGATAAAAGTCATAAAGTAAAATGAACTCCTCGGTGGAGCAAACTTTTTTAAGGTACCTTGTAGGATCTTTAGGACATTGGTATAAATAATCTGCTGATTTGAAGTAGTCCAGCGGATGTAAAGAGCCTGTGTAATCCTTGTATTGTTCTCTGTGCATTTGACACGCCTAAAATAAGGGTTGGAAAAATTATTTTTATGTTTAAACGAAACGTTTTATATGATTTGTATGAGCCATAAAAAGAAATATCACGAACACAATGGACGAATTTCCAAACGAATTAAAAAATTGAATCGACACATCGCTTCGAAAAACCACATCATACCCAATGTGTGTGCATTGACGCATCAAATCGACGAATCAATGCACAGTGTATGGGGCTTAAGAATCAGTAATTTAAAAAAAATGACTACCCAGATTAAATATACAGGGTGTTCCAATATTCCGTGGACATAGAACTACTACATATTATTGGAATCAAGTTAATTAAGTTCATTAGACACAATTTACCTCTATACAAAAGTGCTTCGTTTGTCCGTTAGAGACCGTCAAACTTTAAAAAAATAAACACATTTTTTGAGATATTTTTTTAAGAACCGTTATTCCAATTGTATGAAATTTTAGGTGTCTATGTTTTGCTAAAGGTGCGTATTAATTATCCGAACGAACGAACGAATGTTCGCTAGTGGTATGGACGGGGACCGCGTACGATAGAACCGCACGAGAAGACCGTCTAAATCTGAATGCGCACGCAGGCGAACGCCTTTGATGTACCGACTCGAAACAGATGCTCGAGCGAACGAACGAACAAACGGCCGCATGCGTTCGGTCCCCGTCTAAATATACCGCACTTTCATTCGTTCGTTCGTTGGTTCGTGCAGATAATGAATACGCACCTTTAAGGTGCGTATTCATTATCCGCACGAACGAACGAATGTTCGCTAGTGGTATGGACGGGGACCGCACGAGAAGACCGGAGACATTTGTTGGCGAACGCCTTTGATGTACCGACTCGAAACGGATGGTCGAGCGAACGAACGAACGGCCGCATGCGTTCGGCCCCCGTCTAAATATACCGCACTTTCATTCGTTCGTTCGTTCGGATAATGAATACGCACCTTAAAGGTGCGGTCGTTCGTTCGCTCGACCATCCGTTTCGAGTCGGTACATCAAAGGCGTTCGCGTCCGGTCTTCTCGTGCGGTTCTATCGTACCGTCCCCGTCCATACCACTAGCGAACATTCGTTCCTTCGGATAATGAATACGCACCTTTAAAGGTGCGTATTTATTATCCGAACGAACGAGCGAGCGAACGAATGGAATTCGGTATATTTTGACGGTGGACCGAATGCATGCGGTCGTTCGCTCGATGCTTTAACATTTGACTTTCGCAAAAATCAAAAAAAATTACAGGAAGGGTGAAAACTACTACTACCCCAACACTTACATAAATTTTAATATAAATATTTTTTTTGTAACTCTACCGATGACCGTTTTTTATTTCGTACAATGGTCCTTCTAGTATATTTACTACATTTTTTGTCTCTATATCTATCTATGTCTCTACTACATTTTTTGTCATAGAAAGTCCCCGCGCATACTTTTTGAGGAAAAAAATATTTTTCCGAAGCTGATTTCCAAAAAATATCTTTCGTCACATCAAGCTATAGAGTCGCATAAGATTTATTATGCTCTAATAATCTCTATGTCGAAAATATGGAATTTTATGTTTGTTTGTAATTGTGAGCAGGCTGACCGTTTTGTTTACAGTTCCATAGAGACGAGAGAATGATTCGCGAAAATAATTGTCACGTCACGTAAAACGGGCTCAATTTACTGTTGTATTTTTTATCATATTAATTGTAATAAATTAATTAAAAGTAGTGTCGCCGCAATCGTTATTTCCCTTATATAAAGGGTGGTCCTTCACAAGGCAAGAAACATACAATGTTAGTATCACAAATCATATTTGATAAAGCTTCATAAAAAGCTTAAAAAAATAATAAATTTTAAATTAATTAACGTTCAGGTTTATTTTTATTGATGCCCTCTAACGGACAACCGAAGCACTTTTGTATAAAGGTAAATTATGTGCATCAACTAATTTTGATTCAAAAAATAAGTATATAGTTCTTCTATATCCACTTATTCTTAATCTAAGATGCTCACGGAATATTGGAACTCCCTGTATATTTTCTAGGTCTACTTTGGAAAAATAAATTCTCCAAAAAGTTGTTTCTCGAAAACCATGCAATAAGTAAATACCTATGATCGAATAAAAACGGCGTCAGCGATGGCTCTGAAATGAATATCGCTGTCATTTTATATGTCATTGGAAATGTCATCCATCGTCATTTCCAAGCCAACTGGACGCCGGTTTTTTTTCGATCATACACCAGAGGGGCCATTTTACGACGTGAAATTTCGGTCGTCGGTGGAGTTGGAAATAACTATTTACTCTAAAACTTCTTTACTTCCCATACTTTTTCTTGTTTTTTTAAAGTCAAATGTTTACGAGCAAAACATAGTCACCCAAAATTTCATTCAAATCGGAATAACGGTTCTTAATAATAATAATAATAGCTCCCGTATATAGCGTTTAACCCCTTGGGAGTAGCAAGGTACAGCTTGCCATACTAGATAGCCGTTCGGTATACAAGGAAGGTAATTTGGCTAGCACTACACTTCAACCGCCTATTATTACCTCAGGATTGTGAATCCCAAGTACTCATTTAAAGCTGAGTCGACCTATAGGTACCCAAACTATTTTTATTTTAATAAAAATAGTCGGCTGATGAAATGCCGGGTGTGGGATTCGAACCCACTACCTTGAGATTGCTAGACGAGAGCCTGTACCTCTACGCCACCGGGCACCTTTAATGGTTCTTAAAATATTTTAAAAAAAGTGTTTATTTTTTTAAAGTTTGATGCCCTCTAGCAGACAAACGAAGCAGTGGTCTATGTCCACGGAATATTGGGACACCCAGTATTTGCAAGCATTCTTCTTTTTATAACGTTACCACGTAGAAATTATCCACTTCTTGTTGTCTACCAGCATCCAACATACTAATATCTGACTGTGGAAATCTAAGATACTTGCCGGATTTCTTATAAATCGATGCATCAGGATGAGGTGTGTACATGGTCTCAAAATCGTCCCAGTCATCTTTAGGCACCTATACAGAGGTAGATATACATTAGCGTGACATACCAAGTCTTATATTATTCATATAAAATAATAATTTAGCTTACTTTTAATCTAGATAAGACTTCATTTCGGTAGTTGTCGAAATAACTACGGCGGTCTATATAGCCCCCTTGTTCAGGGGGCTCTGCTCCCATAAAAAATGCTTCTAATGTTGGTGGGTAATGGGATGCGCTAATATCCGCCTTTTTAAGTTCCCCCATTGCTTATATTTGTTACAGGAAATTTTGAAACGAAAATTTAGAAAGTACTTCTGTCAGTTACATATTTTGAAAAGTCATTGCATGTGTTTAAATGAACTAATTTTCTAAAACGGTCCACACACGATGTAATATGTGTTGGACGGGAAGTTGTAGGTATTTATGTAGTTTATCTTTTGGTCACACTATACAGGCTGTTTTAAAAAACATGTGTCATCATCTCTCGTGGGGAGATTTCTCTCATTAAAATAGGATTTATTTTTCATATTAACATATAGGTCCGATTCTGCTTATATAGTTTCGTAGCTACAGGGGGTTAAAGTTTTCATATTTTTTCGATTTATTATAATTTTCTTCCAAAGTGCTTTTAGCAATTCAGATGAAATTTTGAAGATAAAAGTTGCTATTAGTGCGACATATTTTAATACTAAAAAAGGGTCGACATATTTACCATGGACGTGCATATGCGGGTTGTCATTGGAATATTTGACTAAAAAAATATGTGCGCTACTGACTTTTTTTCTCTTGTTAGTAAAATTGAGTAGACCGTTAAATGTTAAATGTTGATTCGCGAAAATAATTGTCACGTCAACTCTTGACATTTTGTCGATTTCGGTCTCCTTGATATACAGTATGTCCCCGGATTGTCTTTACAGACGGAAAAACTTTTTTATTATTGACATTTTCAGAAAAAGGCATTCTTCGTAAAAAAAAAATTCTTGTTTTTAAATGGTTAATCCCGTTCTATAATTTTCTAAATTTCCATACCGTTTTAGAGAAAATGAAGAAAAACATAAAAATCTGGTTGAATTCTTTCCAAAGTCCTACAAAATCTTGGAATTTTAATTAACGTAATAATTTTTGTAAGTTTAAAACGTTAAAGAAACATAAAATTTATTTAGTTTAATGCTACGCAAAGGGTGATGATATAGTTATCGGAAAATATGATACTTTAAGAACAGTATAGGTTATGACGTTAATCAAAGTTAATAATAGCCATCTATCAAAGAATGAAATCAAATTGATATTACCATAGAACTGCCTTTTGATTTTTAGGGTTTAGAAAAAATTCAGCCATATTTTCATGTTCTTAATTTTCTCTAAAACGGTATGGAAATTTGAAAAAATATAAAAAGGATTCACCATTTTAGAACAAGCAAATTTTTTTATAAAGAATGCATTTTTCTCAAAATGTCAATATTAAAAAAAGTGTTTCGTCTTGTAAAGACAATCCGGGGACATACTGTACAAACGCAATTTAATTAATTTGCCTTAATGCAATTCTAATGGCAACCTTCAAAAAATTTTAATATCACTATCTTTCCAGAATGTTAAATAACTACTCATTGATTCCTCATCAAAAAATATGAAAAAATGGTTCCTATTAAGAGCTCGAACACACTGACATGACGGTCAGGTCGCACCGGCCAGGCCGCTGCTACCTCTAAAACCATTAAATCATATGGTACAACCTACAACGGACACTAACGGCCGTTGGCTGGTCGTTGCGACCAGTAGACTGCACTAAAATATTATTATTTTCTGCCGCTTATTGTTGCCGGTTTTCTTCCAAATTAATAATTTTTCAGAGAAATCCCTCAAATTCAACGTAAAATATTTTATTTTCTATATTGTGTTTTAGTGTAGTTTTTACACACGTGCAGAAAATCCAAAGAAATACATAGTATACAGACTGGATCAAAAGGGAAACTTTTAGATATAGTTCCTTTTTTATCAAGGGTCGATCCTAGTAAAAATTCAAAACATTTTTATATAACATACTCTATTTATGGTTGGTATGATACCTGTTATTATACCTTCGAGTTTCGATAATAAAAAATAAAAAAAATCATATTTAAAGTTTTTCTACAACCACTTGTTATTTTTTGATTAAATTAGTTTTTTTAGTTGTATTGTATAGTCATGTACATACAAGAGGGACAACTGTATTTTACTCGTAAATATAATTTAATGTTTTTCAAACAGGGCCCATTAGACTATATTTTTACTAGGACTAATTCAATACCTTGTACTAACCCAAATACCAAGAAATAGAGTTAAAAAATTAAATATTTATGTTTTTTATGTATATATAAATAAGTCATAAATAAATCATTTGTTTTCAATTCCTAGGAACAATACTATTTTTGTCAATAAATAAATTTTGTCAAACACAAATACCAAGAAATAGAGTTAAAAAATTAAATATTTATATTTTTTATGTATATATAAATAAGTCATAAATAAATCATTTGTTTTCAATTCATAGGAACAATACTATTTTTGTCCTTTATTGATATAATGTGATTATTTATTATTTTTATATCTGATGCAACACTCTGTGGAGGCCAGACGGGCCAAATTGCCAATATTACTTTATTTAATATTAGAACATTTAATAAGCTCATGAATAAAAACTTCGCTTTTTAGTTAACTCGAATGGTTTAACATTTCTAAAAACAATACTTTCTAATTGGTAAAACGTAAAATATCGTTAGACCTGACAGCCCTGCCGAAACTGGTCGTTCATCTGGCCGCACCTATGTACGCAATAGATCCGGCCAACCGACGGCGACGGCCAGGTCGTTGCGACCTGGTTGTCAGTGAGTTTGAGCTCTAACTTGGGTGCAGAAATGTATAGTTTTAAAGTTACAGGATGTTAATGATATGAAAAATAAATCGTATTTTTACGTGAGGAAACTCCCTATGAGATAATGGCACATTTTTTCGAAACATCCTGTATAAATAAAACAAAGATTTAGAGTAAACAAAATACGTATATTTATAAATAGTTATGAAACAAAAATATGTATAGAGAGAAAAATTACAAAATATGTCTTGTAAGATAAATAATGAAGCATGCAATTGCTCACACAAAAAAACTTGGTACAAAAGGCATATTTTGAATAGTTTATGAAAAAAGATGTATATATTGCCTTAAAATAAACGTTCACAAAGTATACATAGAAAAATATATCTATTGACAATTATTGTTTATAGAGGTCATAGAGGTAACTTACAAATATATTGGTAAAATATTTATATAAAAGTTTACTAGTAGAATGTAAAGTATTTAAAAATGGCAGAACAATAGGAGATCATTAAAGTGTTTGTTCTATAAAAAATTGTAAATGCACCACAAGTTGAAATAATATAATAATGAATAATTTCATATTATTTTTGTGATTTAAGTTACAAAAGAAAAATATTGTAATTGTCTGAACCAACAAAGAGCAAAAACCTAAATAATTTTACTATAAAATTTTTTAAAGTCAGTAAATTGAGCTATACATGTATAAAATGTATAATAAATTCTATAAAAGATTTATAAAATATCACAAACAAATCGGCATATAAACTATGCGCTTTTATGTAATATAATCTACCTATTTCAAAAATATTTCCATAATCAAAAAAATTAGATTAAACATTTCAAAAATATTTCCATAATCAAATAACACTATTCAAAAAGTCAAAAAAAATTATGTAGATCATTTCAAATCATTCAGTTTCAATGATCCTTAACTCTTTTTATTAACTTACATAAACCTTAATCATTAGGAAATATTAATAATTTTTAAGCACACCATTCTCTTCATAAATGCCTGGATTCAAATATAATTTCTTAAAGCCTTTATTTTCTGTCTCAGAAGTTTGCATAGTTCGGAATTCAGATTTCCTCCTCCTCAGTCCTTCATCTACTTTCATTAAAAGATGATCCACTGATTCATGGTTGGCGAGATTCATAAAATTTTGGCAGATTAATTCGATGTACCATGTTCCCCTAAAAGTATCCCTGTGAGCTTTTGATCCATGTAACGTGGCGTAGCCAATGAGCATATCTTCAATTGATCTAAATGATTCTATCACAGATGTGGGAGTTGTCCCTGCGGAACTAGTAGATGGTAGTGAAAATATACTATCAACTTCTGTGTTATGGACAGCAAGATCATGTTCACTTCCTCTGCATACTTGGTAAATAAATATTTTAGGTTTACCTCGAAATAATCTACATTTGCTTGGAATAAAATATTCTTGGACATCTGTAGTGTATAGAAAATTTCCATCTATACCATAAATTGTGGTCTTGTTGACATTTTCCGATCCATGGCTCATCACAAAAACAAAACATATATCGCAAATTTTATCTTTTTCGTAACGAGCAAAGTCTTTTAAAATAAGTCTCATTTGCTCAGTGGTTTTGTTTTTATGTCTCTCTATAACCTGTAAAAATATACAGAAACAATAATTTTATAGTTTATTAAGGATATCAGTAATAACTTACCCATCCACCCATTTGAGTAAACATTTTGAAGAGATTCTCTTCATCTACGTTGGCACCTTTTCTATAAGTATGGCCAGAAGCCCAAAATTCATAATTATTAATTATTAACACACGTCCCCGTTTCTTTGATCTACTTGAATAAAACTGTATATTCGGATTATGTAAGGATGAATCATAAAATTCTGTAGCCAATTTGACATCTATATTTAATGGTGTGGTATTGTTGTCCACATGAGCCATATCTTGATCAGCTTCAATTGAGGAGGATATTTCATTTTCTTCCTCCTCTTCATCTTCATTTTCTTCCTGTGGAGCACGAAAAGGAGCACATCCTGATTTTTTCTGCGAAATAAAACCTGCCAAGTGTTGATGACCCTTGGCAATCAACCATTGTTGCAAGGCAACAAGAGCAGAATTATGTTTCTCTTGGAGAGCGAAGAAAAACATCCTTTTGTTGTGACGTTCATCTTCAGATGAGAACGCTCTAGCAAACTCTTGTTCAGTGAATTCTCCCTTTTCAATTAGATATCGGGCTAACTGCCTAATTTCCTTTACCTTCATCAAACTGATCCAGTTCTGTGTTATGGTATGAAGTTGCTCTGACATATTTGTACAAAAAAATTTAGAAGAAAAACCTCTATTTCTTTTTTTGCGGGCATTAGAGAGCCATGAATAAAAGCGTAATAATAATTTTTAAACAAATAAAAAAGGCAGAGATAAAATAAACAAAGAAAAAGTGTTATGCACAAAATCGTCTTCTTTTAAGTTTAAATCTTCTTGATTTTGGTTTTGCGGCCCAAGCTGTCAGGACTATACGGCGATGTTTTAAAGTTTTTTTTTAATTAATTTAAAGGCCTAAGCTACTAGGACTATCCGGCCTGTTAATAGGAAAATCTTTTTAGTCAAAGGTGAAACCCTATGAAATGTTTAGAAAAAAAAAATCTGGACGGAGTCTTTTTTATGTTTAAGCAGAATTCGCACCACAGTCCTCAGCCACATTGGCCTGCCTTGCTCCTCACCACATATCGACCGTCCAAGCCATGGTCCATGCCTAAGGTCCATGCCATATGAGATGTGCTCCTATTGACAAAAAATTATATATGATTATTAATGACCCATAGATTATTCTGATCACCTACCCTCTGGCTATGAGCTAATCGTTTACTGGTCTGAATAAAAAAGAATGGGGTTAAATGTAAAAATTTAAAGAAAATATATGGAAAATATACATATTAGGTATTGTTTAAGCTTTAAACTTATATAATTATGGTGATTGGAGCATTTCCCGCTGCTAAACTAGGAGCCTTATTACTGAAACAAGTTAGTAAACCGATTGCCAATGTGGTTAAGAACCAAGCAAAAAGTTCACCAGTTTTTCGTAAATATGTATGTATGCCTCCAGCCCAATGTAAGTTGATATTAACGGTAAACTCTCGTGATCGTGATATATATAGTTAATATTTGGTTGTTATAGTCTATAACTGGTGTGAGATAAAGTCCAAAATGTGGATACTTAATTTAGGCAAACCTGTAAATATTCCTGTTCTAAATGAAGCACAGGCAATTGAATTAGGGGCTAATTTACTTGGAGAAGCAATTATATTTATTATTGCTGCAGGAATACTACTTAGCGAATATAACAGGTTTTTAAATCTATTACGTATATGTATAGTGTTTGTCATGACATGTGATTTTAGATCTTCAAATAAAGAAGCAGCAAAAGAACAAGCAAGAATACAAGAATTATTAGATTTACGGAATGACATTAAAGAGTTGTACATTCAAGCAGAAGAAGAAAGAGCTCAAATACGGGAATTATTTAGAAAACTTGGTGATCAGCATACTCAGTTGCAATCTCTAGGTGGGCAATAGTGTGGAGCTATAGCATATTTATGTTGCGTAATTATATAGAAAACTAATTAAAAAAATGTACATTTCTTTATTTGTTACAGCTGAAAAATTAGGTGCTAAACCCAAGAAAGTATCAGCTCCATCAGAGAGTTCTAATGAACCGCCGCCTTATTCACCAGTTTATGATGATCCTAGTCTAAAGAATATTGAAAAACCACCAGAACTATATCAGCTTAGCAGTGTTAGATTTCAATCCAGCACGTCTCCCGTTTTACTGTTTAGAGCAGTTGATGATATATTAAATTTTTTCACTAGTCCAGCTACGATTAAAGAAACTACACACCTCTCTCATGCATTAGAATATCTAAGTCGAATATTTAAATTTTGATCTTATTCTGTATGTTTAAATAAGTGTATATAATAGTAATTTATTAGGCTTTTTAAATTTTACTCGTGAATACTGGTTGTAAATAAATGTTATCTAATTGCGGAATATACATGTTATGTTTTGATCTTGAAGATTAATAAATGTGAAGGTGAAGACGATGCTGAAGGCTATCCGACCCTAGAAGTCTCGTCTCGCATCAAAATCTGACCTGTCGATGGGGCCTCGCTTTGGCGAGCGAGGCCCCAACTTCGTGGAGCCTCGCTATTTTGCTCGGAATTGAACGAATAGACGCGCGGCGTTGCCTTGTTTTGTGTGTACTTTCTTGAATAGTTTTAAATTCTTTTTAAATTATAGTTTTAAATTTTATCTATTGCTATAATCAGTCTTTCCGTTCTCCGCAGTTTACATATAATATTATCTTATATAATTCCCGTGTTACAGTTTTGGTTACCGTACTCCTCCGAAACGGCTTAACCGATTTTGATGAAGTTTTATATGTATATTCAGTAGGTCTGAGAATAGGTAGTTATATATTTTTTATACCCTTAAGTGATAAGGGTAGTCCACCCCCATTTTTTTATTTTGCGAAAAAAAATATTTTTTTTTATTTGGCATTAAAAAATACAAACAACACTAAATTTTCACCGTTCTACCTTCATCCCCTATTTTTTAATAGGGGTTGTTTTTTTCATTTTTTATTACCATCTCCGAAACGGCTTAACGGATTTTAATAAAATTTTATATGTATATTCAGTACGTCTAAGAATAAGTTGTTATCTATTTTTATACCCTTAACTGATAAGGGTAGCCGAGAGGGTAACCCACCCTCATTTTTTTTTAGTTTTTGAAAAGAGAAAAAATGTTTTTTATTTTTTTATTTGGCATTAAGAAATACAAACAACCCTAAACTTTTCACCGTTCTCTTATTTCATCCCCTATTTTTTAATAGGGGGTGTTTTTTATTTTTTTTTGTTTTGGCCATCTCCGAAACGGCTTAGCCGATTTTGATGAAATTTTATATTGGTGCGAAGTATATTTGAGAGTCTGAAAATGGTTTTATTTTTTTATAACCTTAAGTGATAAGGGTAGCCCACCCCCATTTTTTTTATTTAAAAAAAAAAAATATTTTTATTGTTTTATTTGGCATTAAAAAAATACAAACAACCCTAAGTTTTCACCTTTCTACATTCATCCCTATTTTTAATAGGGGGATTGTTTTTTTTAATTTTTTGTTACCATCTCCGAAACGGCTTGATCGATTTTGATTGAAATTTTATACATAGTATATTCAGTAGGTCTGAGGAATACGTTGTTATCTGTTTTTATACCCTTAAGAGATAAGGTAGCCAACCCCCATTTTTTTTATTCTTTGAAAAAAATATATATAATTTATTTTTTTATTTCGCATTTAAAAAAATACAAAACAACCCTTAAATTTTCACCGTTCTACCATCATCCCCTATTTTTTAATAGGGCATGTTTTTTTTTAAATTTTTTTGTTACCATTTCCGAAACGGCTTGGCCGATTCGATGGAATATATATAATTATGTATATTTAGTTAGGTTCTGAAAATAGTTTGTATCTATTTTTATACCCTTAAGTGATAAGGGTAGCCCATTCCCATTTTTTATATTTTTGGAAAAAAAATAATTTTTATTTTTTTATTTTTGCATTAAAAATACAAAGAACAAAAAATTTCAACCCGTTTCACCATCATCCCCTATATTTTTATAGGTTGGTTTTTATTAATTTTTTGTTACCATCCCTGAAACGGCTTGAACCGATTTTGATAAAATTTTATCATGTTATACTCAGTACGTCTAAGAATAGGTTGTTATCTTTTCTTATACCCTTAAGTGGTAAGGGTAGCGAAGGTAAGCCCACCTCATTTTTTATTTTTCTTGAAAGAAAAAAAAAATGTTTTTATTTTTTAAGTTGGCATAATAAATACAAATAACCCTAATTTTCACCGCTTCCACCATCATCCCATATTTTTTAATAGGGTTGTTTTTTTTATTTTTTTGTTACCATTTCCGAAACGGCTAGACCGATTTTGATAAAAATTTATTATGTAATATTCAGTAGGTTGGTTTGTTTGGTTTGGTCACAACCTATTCCTAGGTTGTTATCTATTTTTTAACCCCTAATATAATAAGAGTGGGCCACCCCAACTTTTTTTTTATTTTTTAGACTATTTTTTATTTTTAATTGTTTATAGGGAGTGCTTATTTTTTAGGGGGTGCATGTCCAAAATTTACTTCTGGGTACACACTTTCATCACTTAAGGGACCTCTGTACAAAATTGCATACTCCTAGTCCTAGAACGGATTTTACATAAAAATTATACAAATTTTTACCCTTAGTTTTATCCCCTTCAGCACAGAATATCTAGCTACGCAAGCTGGTATATATGCGTAGCTAGGTATTCTGTGCCTTAAGGAATGAATTCCAAAAATCGCTCTAATTATTCAATTACGCTACATAATAAACTTCTGTGCAAATCATCATATATAATCATCATCATATTCCTTTAACAGAATTTATTGTTCCAGAACGTTCAACCCTTCTTTTCACACCCTTAGAGGGCGAATTTTCAAAATTGACTTTTAGTGCTAAAAATTACGTTACATTAAGGAACGTCTGCAAAAATTTATACTTCTAAAACCGATCATTTAACAAATTTTATTTGTCACCGAAATTTCATCCCTTATTTTTTGGTGGATGCATGCCTAAAATTGCTTCTAGGTACTCACTTTAATCATTTAAGGGACCTCTGAACAGAATTTCATACTCCTAGTCCTAGAAACGGATTTTACATAAAAAATTATACAAATTTTCACCCCTAGTTTTACCCTCTTAAGGAATGAATTCCAAAAATCACTCTAATTATTCAATTACGCTACATAAGGAACCTCTGTGCAAATTCTCATATTCCTTGAACAGAATTTATTGTTCCAGAACGTTCAACCCCTCATTTCGCACCCCCAAAAATCGCTTATCAATGTTCAAATGCGCCACATATGGGCAAAAGTTCATACTCCTAGTAGGTACAGATTTTTTTTGTATAATTACACCCCTTTATCTAATTACACCCCCTTATGGGTCGAATTTTAAAAAATTACTTAGTATTGCTCATCTTAGAGAACGAATTAATATTCTCCCTATTTACTCCAGTTTCCTAATACTAGCACAGATAACACATAATCATACTAGTTAATTTTTTATTGGAATAGAAGTTAATTTTTATTAGAAGGTATACAAAAAAATTAAAAATCTAAAATTTTATTTTCATAGCTACGTTTTTTTTTTCATAGCCTTAGGCTGCCTCATGTACTAAGTGTGCGAACACAGTGCAAGCAGGTTTGCCGCTTGCACTGTGTTACAAGCAGGTTTGCCGCTTACTGGTAGCCAGCGCCAATCTGAGTACCTATTCTTGACATCGTTCGCAACTTTGCGTATACGCATCACGTGTATTGTTATAAACAGGGTATCCCAGAAATAAGTGCAAGTATTTTAAAGGGTGGTAGATCTCGATAAAAGAAATACATTTTCTCTTTATCGTTTTTCAAAAAGTCCAAAATACCGAGCAAGTTATTTTACTTTGAAAATTTCCAAAAAAAATGATTTTTTAGCTTCAAATTTTAGAGAACCTTCTTCATGTGCCTTTTCCTCATCGGAGGTTGGCGACCATCAATTGGAATTTCTCCCTGTCTTGAGCCAAAACGGATAATTGCACACATTGCCTCTCCTATATTAAACCATGGCAAACTTTGCCATGGCACTGGCGCAAATTCCGCATGCAGGGAAACCGTTTACGCCCGATGCCTCGTCGTCCTTCAATCTTTCCCTCAACGATCAACTGTAGGAAACATATATTTGCATTTTGAAAAAATATGACCAATTATGACTGCTTTTTAACGTCGTATTTATTGGTAGTTTCCAATGTCTTCAGCTCCTTACAAATTCTTTCCAATACTTCGAGAATTGTTTGAGAACCCACTGGATCTTTCTGGATTTTACTTATCTTAGTAAATTAATCTACTACCTATGTTTGCATATATCAAAAAAATTATTTTTTTAAATTATAAAACTAAAAAAAATTGACAAAAAAATTCAAAAATATTTTCAAAAAAAAATACACCGATTAATTCCAAAAATATAAAATATATAGACGAAATAACACTCAAAGGCGTGTTTCTGAGGTTGAACTTACTACCAGTTAAGTTAAATACTTGCACGTATTTATAAGAGACACAACTAGAATATATAGATTACAATAAGTAGACGCCGCAGCCGCGCCAAGTAGAGAGATTAGACATAGAAAATTAAATGCCGTGTCTATCAGATCGCGCTAGTTCACCAGCTGGAAAGCAGGTAGACACGTCAACCAAGCGTTCATCGGCCGTTCTCGCTTTACAAGAATTTTAATATATATACTGCTTTTGCAGTCACCGACCGGCGCAAAGGTATATAATAAATAATAGAATATATATATATATATATATTTTATATATATATATAAAATATATATATATAGAATAGAATAATAATAATATAAAATATATATAAACATTTTTCTAAAAAAAAAAAAAAAAAAAAAAAATCAATAAAATAATATAAAACATATAATATAATAATATAATATATATATATGACGCGAGGATGGGTGTTATAGGTAAAGACTATCGTTTAAAATCTATTTAAATCAATGTTTTTTTTGGCAGTGGCAAATATTTGCGCAAATTTTTTACATATTCGCAAAGCGAGACTTTAAGCACTGAACGGATACTAATTCCATTGACGGAATATTGCGAATAGTCTTACACCTTTAAAAAATGCTTTATTTTTTTTTTTTTTTTTTTTTTATAAAAATAGAATAGAAGGAAACGTTTCAAAAATAAAAAATATTGGCATAAATACAGGACTTTCCAGCTGGCTCTGTATCCATCATGACAGTTATTATAAACAATTTGCAAAAAAAAGCACTACAAACAATATTCCACTATTTTATAATTTAGAAATTTTTCAGAATACACTTCAAGAATAATTCATTACTTATAATTTGAAATATATTATTTTATTTGATAG